CACAAGGCAAGTGAAATTACCTCAACAACGCAAAAAGACACTGTCAAGGTCTTTCTATAAGGTCTTATACTCACAATCTTAGGAGTTAAGAACCTATCAAATAATGTTAGAAATCTATAAGGTCAAAATCAGCATCTCTTCATGCCAAAACATAAGTTTAGATCTTATAAATCCTAACATCAACAAATACCATAAGATAACATACTACTAAAAAATGACATCAACTTAATTGAATAGCATAACAAAGTATGTGTTGGCCTATAACCTATTAAAAAAATACAATAAATAAGACACAAGTAAGTAGAAATTAGAATTGTTGTACAAAAAAAAAGTGTGGAATGAGATATCTCTTTCTTCCAACATCCTTTACTTATAGGAGGAGTTTACATCTATTATAGTTTAATTTCATCTATAATCATCTTCATCCATCCAATTTAATCCTAGATTCTTCTTAATCTAGCAACTATATCAAATCCTAATTGCCACATTCATAAGTTATTATCATTCTTTTACTATTCTTTGACCATTAACAACTTACCTAAGGTAATTGTATCTTATCTTTATTTTAATATTTTGCATCATCTAAATATATATTAGATATACATAGAATAAAAATAAAAATATAGATAGAAAGTAAAAATTATATTAAACATCATAAATTCTTTAAATATATCTATTAAATATATCATCAACCAAAGATAAACAAACAACTTATTTGATATAATTAATTATAACTAATTATATTTAAGGTATATAAAAAGTATCATATCTTTAATAGCTTGAATTTACATCACTTTTATTGATAGAATTCAATCCAATTCTATTAGATCTTAAATAATTTTTTAAAAAAAATTATAATATATAATTTATTATTAGAAATTTATAAAATTTATTTAAAAATATAGTAAACATATATATATACCTTCATTAAGAAGTTAAAATTTTATTTCATATGATGTGTATTATGTACTCCAACTTACTTTCAAAAATCTTTCAATCCATGTTTTATAATTGATCATATATTCTTATATTTTTATTTTTATTTCTTCTTGCTAATGATTGATTACTCAATGTATCTAATGCAATTTCTACAACTTCTTCAAAATATTATCTTTATTATTCGTCTATATTTGCAAGGCTCTTTCTTTCAACATGCCTTGAGGACACACATTACTACTAAACAAACAATATATGTTCCAAAATATTTTCTTTTCTCCATCTTCCAAGTTATCAAAGCTTACTCTTATTATATTCTATATCTTGTAGTTACTATTCTTTTCATCTCCATCCAAATCTCTTTTCTTCTTTAATTTTTGTAAAACTATCTTCCTACATCTTAGCTTCTTTTAGTTTTTTTAAAAATTCATCTATGACTTAAAGACTCAAAGATAGGACATTGCAAGCTTTTACAATTTTATTGCAAACCTCAACAAGTTCATTAGGCAATGTTCCTTAGAATCTATAAGAATGAGTAATAAACAACCTCATACTTGTTTCTTCATCACAATCATATAATTTCTTATAAAATTCTACTCCAAAAAGTTCTATTGATTTCCAATATTAAATTGTCACAATTAATATTTTTCTATTACTAGCAAACAATGCATTTTTAATAACATTGTCTTAAATTTGGCTTTGCTTCTTCATATAATCAAGGACTAGAATAACTTTAATCTTTGTGAAGTATGAATTCAATATTTTTGAAGTTTCTTCCATACCTTTTGGTTTTGATTTTTGTTTGAATTACTCCAAGATTTTGCAAGAGATTGTAAAGCAATCAACACCACTTTCACTATATTCAACAAAACATGATTCATCATATATGTGCTTTGCATCATTGAATGCAATCTTTGTCATTGTGGTCTTTCCTATTCCACCTATTCTACTAAGATATATTACCTTTATATTGTTTATACATAGTTGTTTGATATACAATAGACATTGTGTTCTATCCAATAACCCTTCTTTGGATGATTTAATCTTCATTTACAAATACAACTATAAATCATTCAAACTCCATAATTTATCTAATTTTACAAATGCATACTTAATAAAAAGAATCTAATCATCATCACATTACAAAGATTAGTAATTATATAATATTATAATCAATCCAAACAACTCTGTGCATATTTACCATATTTGTTTGTGTGAGTCTTATCAATGGCATCCTATTGTGAGTTTCTTTTGGTTGTATAAAATGATGAATCTTCTTTCTCTTTAAACCAAAATGTGGTATTTTAGCAACACTACTTTCTACCAAAAATATTTTCTTCAACTTCATCAATCTTTTGCAAATACTTGCAAATTTTGATTGTTGCAAAGGATTCTACTTCTAATATTCTTCAATAAGCTTTATTAATTTATTGCAATTTGAAGACAAATTTGGTCTTTCACCATTCTTTATTATTTTTAATATTTCTCTTTTCTTACAAACATTGTAAAATGGATCTTTGTTTGAAGTAATATTAAAACATACCATTGCAAATGAATACACATCTACTTCAAATAGATACAACTTTATTGATTCTAATTTGTTCATCAATACTTTGAAAGTCATAAATGGGATATTATCATAAAAATTATTATTGATTGTAGCTTTTGGATTCCTTCCAACATCAATCTTGGACATTCCAAAATCAATTAATATCACATCAATATATTTAGTAATTTCATTTATTATTTATTTTTTCTACAATATTAAGTAAAATATTGTCTAGCTTCAAAACTTGATGTATAATATATATGACATGCAAGTAGCACATTCCTCTCGTAATTTAATACATAATATCAACAAAAAAAAATATATAGTCTTTATTTTATTTTTTTTCAATACATTCTCTAAGCTTCTTTGCATCAATTCCATTCTCAAATATAAACTTCCATTTATATTTTATTGTAGCACAAGATTGACCATTACTACCATCTTTCATTGCAAAATAATATTTAATCAAGTTGGAATGGCTTAGACCCACTAGGATGCTCACTTCCCTAATAAAAAAAAAAAAACTTATTATATGTAACATGCATCTTTTTAATGCACACAAAAGCCTCTACCACTTTACCTTGTAAACTTCTCTATAAGATTCTTTGCTTGTAAATTCTATACTTTCAATATTTATCTTGTTTGATGACAACTTCAAGGCATTTAATTGTCCATCTTTTGTATGATGCATGTTCTTCAACCTTTATAATAGATGATTTGTAAATTCACAATATTCCAAATTCTCATCTCCACTTGCAAAGACCAATCTCATTTATAGATCTTTACTATCACATTCTACTTTATTAAAGGTTGCACCAACAATAGTAATAAGTGTGGTGTCTTCAAATATTTTTTGATTATGCTTTCCAAGTACATCACTTGCCACATCATAATAACAATTCAAATCCCAAAAATATCATCTAAAAGTCTCTTTATTCTTCAATTGGAATATAGCTGCTTAACACCAATTTTCATCTCCACAATTTTTTATCAATGATTTAGCTTTACTCACCACAACAAATAATTCATGTAATAAAAGTCTATACAACATTCTATCATTGTTGCATGTCATAAGTTGCTAAAAGATCTTTATAATACAAGCAATTTTCTTTCATAGAATTACATATTGTTTTTTTTTATCAAATCATCTTCTTTCTCCAATAGAACTTCTATTATTACAACAAAAAATTTATGTTCATTCCTAGTATAATCATCAATATCTCGCATGCTTGATGTGGTGCCAATATCTTGAACATTGTTAATAAATATCTAGGTACAAAAACCCATTTCAAACCTCTTGATCAATGAAAAATGACTTTTGAATAATTTTAAAAGATAAGCCATGCAATAATGCTAACAAGTTTTTTAAACTTCTATCTAAATTTAACATGCAACAATTTTTTGTAGCAGTCCATCTTTTATATAACAAAATTGGCTGAAAAAGCTAAAAACACATCAAATGTTTCAAATTTTAACTCCATGAAAATGAAGGAACAACATAAAATTTAACATATTAAAACAAAAACAGATAAAACAGAAGATCACTTTAGAGAATAATCCATCATAAATGTAACACTTTAGAGAATAATCCATCATAGCAACCATTAGAGAATTTAACATGTTGGATAAATAAAAGTAAGTTGGTTTCTAATTTATAAATTGATATCAATTACAGGTATGAGAGGTTGGGTTAAAGGTCAAAGACTATGTAAAGCAACCTATTATATTGAATTGTGCTTAATTTAAGAATACATCTGAGAAAAGATCAATCAAGTTAAATAAAATTGCTTTGGAGAAGATTGTAGTTCCTATCGTAGTCATGTTTGCTGCCTCTGGCTAGAGTGCATGGCTTTGAAGTCCGGTACAATTCTCTTCGATTTAGTTTGCCGAAGCACTATCGTGTTCATAACGATATTGTCCAATCAATTTTGCTGCTTTGTTTTGATGAATTACTATTTGCTCAGGATTGCTACAAAAGATCTGTTTAATTCTCGCGTCTGCAGCGTTAAAAACTGGCAAACATTGAGTTTTATACACAACCTCTCCCATAAATTAGTGCCAAAAGTCATAACCATTGCAGTGAACGTGAATAACAGATATTCCACAAGTTTCCTCCAGGGGCAAATCCATCGGTTTGCAACACTTGTCATCTGTCTACGAGGTTAGACCTACTGCGCCTGTACGGATAGTGACAGAAACCTTGGCCTGCAATCCGGCCGCAAGTATAGCCATCACAATACATCCAGCCTAGGGAGGATGAGACACTAACACCCGCCGCACTTCACATGTATGGACGTTCCAGCTACTACCGTCACCCAGCAAAAATCATCAACCAGTGCCGGATTCCCACGACGTAGAGCGGGCCCCATTTCAGGGACAAGTTCCCCACAAGTTCAAACGCGAGCTTGACAAATCAACGTACAAACACATCTGACCATTCACTCCCAACCAAGATTACCCCGTCACCGAATTTACCAAACTGGAGCTTGCACCTATCTCCCAACGAAACAGAAAGTGAACAAATCAGCGGCATATCTATGTTGCTCAAGGTTACGTTCACGTTACATGCGGCAATGCGATCAGTCCCCGCAATAACAAACATCCATGTTTCCTCGTGATGTCCACCCCCCGCTCAAACACCAGACCGTGCACCGGTAGTATGTCACCGTTCGCACCTCGGGTCACGCAAACTCCAATAAACGTCCCACCAACCATCACTACGCAACTCTCCGCATCCCTACCATTCCTGCGATCGACCTGCCTGCGCACTACTTATGCTACCAAGCTACACAATCATGCCATGCACACACGGCAACTAGCACATCCCAGACGGCAGTCCCGCAACGATGGCCACTCCATCATCACAACACCCCAACGAATCACCACAAAAAAAATCCTGCAAACGGAATTCTTCCTTCAGCAAGTCTGCTTCATCGAACTTAACAAACTGTTCGACTGCAAATCTGAATCACGTGCCCACCAGAATGAAACAACCAAGGGCACCCGACACGCGCGCTACTCCCGACCACACCCTGCTGATCCACCGTTTCTCTTCCGGCCTCCAAACTGCCCAGAATACATACCAGGATCCACGGATGGCCACTGCCGATACCACCTAAGAACGACCGCCCTCCCCTATCTTCCAGCGTCCCCCTAACCAACTGTCACGCTCTGTGTTGCACTCTGTCGTAGCTCCTCCATCTCCAGACCATCCCCGACAAAGTCAACCGCATGCTCGCAGAACCTCGTGCCCACGCGATCACCTCAAGCTTCATCGGCACGGCCAGAAGCAAGCCACCTACAAAATTCGCGGAAGACGCAAACCATGCACAGCCCTCAATCACCCCACTCCACTCTCTCAAGCAGCCACAACAGGCGGTGCCTGCCCAGCAGCAGAAGCCTCTTCCTCCGCAGCCTGCGTCTCTTCTGCAGTTGCCTCGATCTTCCCCTCGAACCCCTCGTTCACCACCAGCACAGGCTTCAACTTCTCGTCCTTGAACTTGGTCAAGTCCCTCGGAGGAACCGCGTACGCCCCCGAGAAGCACGCGTCACAAAACTTCGGGGCTTCGTCCTCCAGCATCCCCCTCAGTCGCTCAAGCGGCAAAAACGCCAGCGAGTCTGCGCCAAGCACCTTCCTCGTTTCCTCTACGTTCAGCCTTCACACAACACCCACGGAAACCCATCAACATGCCGTGCACACAACAAACGCTCACCACCACAGAAACACCGTCCTACCACATTCCAATTGCCACTCGCTGTTGGAACACACCAACAGCGCTCCTTCCACACCCACGCAACACCCCATGCCTACAGACGTCAACAGCCAAACTCACACACGTTGCCATCAGCTACTCCCGACGCTACATACCCGGCTACTTGGTCCTTTACATGCCCTCCCCCACCCACCTCCTTCAAATACCAATTCCCCACGTTCAACAAAGACTCGCCGCTGCTCTAGTATGTCAAACATCCCCCACACCAATCACGCTACCCTGACACTCCCCGGCATCCAACAATGTGAATGGCACCTGTAGGAAATCAGCTCCTCCTTGCTCGGAGTGTCCACACCATAGTAGCAAGACCCGGTGATGGGAGGACTCGCAATCCTCATGTGCACCTCCTTGGCCCCAGCCTCCTTCAGCAGTCTCACTATCTTGATGGAGGTAGTCCCACGGACGATGGAGTCGTCGATCACCACCACTCGCTTCCCCTTCAGCACGTGAGCAACTGGTGCCAGCTTCAACTTCACACCAAAGTCCCTGATCTTCTGAGATGGCTCGATGAACGTCCGCCCCACGTAGTGCGACCTAATCAGACCTTGCTGAAACGGAACGTTTGCTTGCGCCGCATAACCCAGCGCAGCCACCACCCCCGAGTCGGGTATCGCGATCACGACGTCGCACTCCACGGGCGCCGTCTCGGCCAATATTCGCCCATACTCGTATCGCGAGTCGTACACGGACCTGCCAAACACGATCGAGTTCGGTTGCGCGAAGTAGATGTGCTCGAAGATGCACGCTTTTCTCTCCACTCTCGGCATCAGGCATGAGGAGCTGTACCCCTCGTTCTTGTCGATCACCACCATTTCTCCAGGTTGGACCTTCACACACACAACCAACCAACAATGTCAACCTCCTCCTTCCTGCAAGTCCCATCAAAGCCTAGCCTGCTCTAAGATCCCACAACCCTCGCCTGTCAAACCGCTCACCTCACGCACGTACTCGGCCTCGATGAGGTCCAGGGCACACGTTTCTGAAGCGAACACGTATGCTCCATTGCTCTTCCTGCCCATCACCAACGGTCGGAATCCATGAGGGTCCCGGACCGCAACCACCTTGTCTTCTGACAGGAACACGAGAGAATACGCTCCCTCCAGCTGCTCGCACGCATCCACCAGGCGAGCCACAAACGGACGCTTCTTCGATATGGCGATCAGGTGAAGAATAACCTGCAACACCAGCCACCACGTCCACTCAGATCAAACCCAACAACACGACCCCAATTCCAAGCCTGCCAAGCTCGAGATCCGAGCCAGCGTAATCCCCAGGCTCAAGCTCTTTCGTCCCCTTTCCTACGACCTCAATCCCATCATGCACACAGTTACCCGCCACTCAGAACCCCTACAACTGCAGCTCGCAGTAGGCCCTGCCTGGGCAAGGGCCTTCCTCCGTGGTTCACTACAACTAGAGATTCAGGAGAGATGGCACTCGTCCACCTCAAACCCCACAGGAGCTGTTCAAAGGTAAACCCGGATCATCATCATCATCAACAACAACATCAAGCCCCGCTGCCGTCAAAGCAGCCGCAGGACGCAAGCAAATCGGCACCCCCCCCCCCACAATTGTCCAAGAAAACCCAGCCACACGCAAGAGCATACAACAACCTCCCACTACACCCACTACATGTGTCGGCCTACCTCCGTATCCGACGACGTGTTGAATATGGAACCATTCTCCTCCAGCCTCGCCCTCAAGGACGAGTAGTTCACCAAATTCCCGTTGTGCGCCAGTGCCAGAGACCCGAACCGATATCCAGCCACGAACGGCTGCACATTCTTCAGCACGGAAGCTCCTGCGGTAGCATACCGCACATGCCCGATGGCGGAAGTCCCAGGTAGCTTCTTCAGCTTGCTCTCGTCGAAGACTTCGCTTACCAGCCCCATGCCTGGAGTCGCCGTGCAAATCACCAACATCAGGGCACATACCAACAGAACGCACTGGAACCCTAACTAGGACACAATCACTCACCTCCGCCACACCCCGAAACTGAAGAAAAACACACAGCAAGCATGACAAGCGGTCCCCGTACCCGTCACGGCATGCAAAGTATGCTCGTTGGCCGTCACTATCCCAGCGCCCTCCTGGCCCCTGTGTTGCAAAGCGTGCAGAGACAAATAACACAGCCTGCTGGCCTCCGGATCTCCGAAGATAGCCACCACCCCGCATTCCTCCCTCCACGCATCACCCTCGCGCTCGTCGCCCTTTCGCAGCCACTCTTCCATGGGATTCTCGCTCGTCGGACTCAGCCATTCCATGCTGCTCCCTCCATCGTCCTCGACGTCCTCCGACCTCGCAGATGCGGAATCACCATAAACTGCCACCGGCGACCACATCCTCTTCCTGCCCTCCACCTTCATCTGCCCCAAATCCCCGCCCCACGCCCCTCGGCTCAGGCTGCCGGACGACGAAAGCGAACACGGAGCTTTCGCCACGCGACTCCGCGCCTTCTCTGTCGACAGATTGCACTGGCTTGCAACGGTGCACGAATGCGCGGCATGGAGCCTCGACATCTGGATGGCCGCCATCCCCACAGACTCTCCGCGGGTGCCGCACACGAGTAGCCTAGCTTCTCACCTCCCTTGCCCACCGAATTGAATTACTACATGACCGTCGCGTTCCAAACACCCCTCAACAACCAACCCTGCCACAACAACCCTCGCGGACCTCACCACCTCCCTGCACGCCAAACAAAGTCACGCCGAAAGTCAGAAAGAATCCCACGACTCCGACGCACGGGCACAAAAGCCCAACCGAGAGCGAAACCATTGCAACCAACACCAGGAACCGCAACAGAAAACCCCTTCCCACACACCCTCTCAACACGCCAACCGAATCCCGGCCAATTCCTTAAACCCACGAACACACCGCCACAACCAAAACCCACCACACAACACAATGCTCCGGGGACGGACTTGCCTGGACAGAGCGTGGGTGAACCCACCCGCTGAGGGTTCCGAACGTCAATATGGGAGCTCGCGATGCCGAATTGGAAGCTTAGATAGAACCCAACAATTTGTGTGACGGCGCAGGAAGGCTGCGGTGTGCGAGAGGAAACCGTGGGGATTGTGGTTTTGAAGGGATTGCTGTGGTGACGATTATGTCCGCAGTTCGATTGGATTGGTGTGAGTGATGACAGCGAAGGTGCACTGTTTGAGAGATTGAAGCCCCGCTGAGGTTTGACGGCGGTCCTGCAGCACCTTAGATTGAGGGATGCCAGGAATGTCGATGGAGCGGCAAGAGATGTGTGGCTGCTTCTGGGGAGTCGATGCTCTTCCTAAACCCCTAGTTGCCGCGAGCGGCGGCTAAACCCCCTTCCCGCGTTCTTACAATTGTCGGTTGGTGACATCGTTTGACGCCTAAGAGGTATCCTTATGCACGTGCTGTTGCTACACTCTAAGAACGAGTTTGTTCAGATATTGCAGATTTGTGCCAGTTTTCTCTTTATGTTTTCAGCGTCTGTTGGTAAGAGATTTTTGAATGTTTATGATGTTTTTTTAAAAAATATATATTTGAAATCTCTGTATTTTTACTCTGGAATCATTTTGCAATATTTGTTTCAACACTTTCCTTTTTGAGTCAGTTAGCTTCATAGTGTTGGATATGTATATGTTCTTCTAAGTAGTTTGAAATCTTAGTACTTGACTTTTTATAATTTTATTTCTACATATTCTTAATTTTAATTATCCTGTTTTATCTTTTGAATTTATGTTTATTATTGTACAAAGTGAAGCCACTAGATACTGTTTTGTTCAAATGTGTGGTATACAGTACGTTATTTAAAACTTGGATGATTTTTTTTTTAAAGATAGATATATATTTTGTATATATATAAATACATATAGATATATACATACATAAGCATATTGCCATGTAAGACACAATTTTTATATATATATATATATATATATATAAATGAAATATCATATATAAAAATATGTGATAAATTGTATATGATATATATATAGTAATATTGCCTAAATATGTATTTTTAATCACAAAAGTTTATAATTTTAGATAATTATTTTGATTTCATAAATTTCATAACCAAATGTATTCAACTACCAATAATAATATGTAGTAGTATTTATTTTTTTGAAGTTTACTTTAAGTATTGTTGAATCTTGACAATTATTAACATAATGTCATCAAATATAAATTTTATGCATTTGAGTTGATTTTATAGTTATTCAAATGTGTGTAGCTCTTATTTTTAATCAAATACAATAATGAGATTTAACAACTCTTTGATTTTATGCTTTTTATTTGTTTTAGTTAGATTATGATGTTAAAAAATTTAATAAATTATAATTTATGTCAATAGTTGCACATTTTATTATAATAAGTTTTTGTATAAGTATACAAAGTCTTTCTCAAAAACAATTGTTATGACTTAGAAAGTTATTATATACTAACATTTAATTACAAATAGTTATATATTAACCTACATGACATTGTCTTATAATCATGCACAATGGCTTTGTAAAATATATTTATTAGAAAGTGAATGATTTATAAATCATTTGTGTAATATCTTTTAGAGTAAATATTGAAACCTATTTTAATATTTAAAAGATACATTTGTAATTAACAATCTCATTCAAATTTATTTTAATAAGATGTTGAGATATGTTATAAAATATTTCTTTGTATATGTAATTAAATTGTAAATTTTCTGTTCATAGTTCTTATCAATAAAAACCGTGTTTAAAGTACTATTTTCATTACCTCAAATATACTAAAATGTGATAGAAAGATTTATTTATTCCAATAATTATCTAAATAACTTAAGTAGGTAGAAATAGATAAAAGTAGATGAATTTAATATTATCTTATGAATGTGACAAGCTTCTTCATATCTTTTCATAATACTTTTCTTTGACAATATTGATTACTATTATGGATTACTAAGGGATATTATATCCAATAGAGGTATCTAATTTATATCAAGATTTTGGAGAATTATTTTTAAAATATTGAAGATAGACATAAAATTATTTGTGGCATTTTATTCTAAAAATGATGGACAAACAAAACAAATGAATCAAGTTTTAGAGCAATATTTGAAGTGTATCATCAACTACCATCAAAATTATTAAACAATTCTTTTGCCATTAATAGAATTTTCATATAATAAAACAATACATTCTTCTATTTAACAAACACATTTTTTTTGTTAATTATGATTATCATCTACAACTTGATACTTTTGAATTCTTAAAAGTTGATAATTCTATAGCAAAAGATTTGGTAAATCATCTATTAGAGCTACATGTAATAATAGAGGCACAATTAAAACAAGCTCAAGAACAACAAAAGATGAATACAAATGTCTATTGCAAGGAACAACTTCAATTTTACGTTAGAAACAATGTGTGGTTATTTGTTGTAATATCAAAACTAATTGCCTTTAAAACAAGTTAGATATCATAGATTTCGACCATTGCTTATTAGTCAATAAATCAATATAATTGCTTATTAATTATACCCACCAAAATCAATGAAACTCCATCATGTGCTTCATGTGTCTCTTCTTGAGCCATACAAGATACTTGATATATTAGGATGAAGACAAATGCCATCTCTTCCTATAGAAATAGATAATTATCAAGAATTTGATGTTGAAGAAGTCTTAGATTAAAGGCAGCACCGAAATAGGTTGGAATAAAGAAAACAAGGTTTAGTGAAGCTTGCATTTCATCTTCTATTCTTGATTGTGATTTCTTTATATGTGAGGTGCTAAAGAGAGGGAGAATCAACAACCAACAAATTCAATTCAAGGACTATTGTTTGTTGAGTTACTGGACTAGATATTGTAATTGTCATAGCCTTTAAGATAAAAAAAATAAAGATGAAGAACATCAAGAATAACATATTCTTTTTTGAACACATAGAAAGACACCACACGTTTGATATTACAACCTTAGAAGAGCCTCTCAATATTTGATAATATTATTGGAGATAGAAACCATCTCCCATGATGTTCCAAATGTTTTCTTTGAATGAAGTTATGAAAGTCTCAACAATGATCAAATATCAAGGTAGTCTTCTCATCTTGGTATGGGACACTATCAAAGGCTAAGAGGACCTATTAACTATCTTTGAATGAAACAAATATCAAAATATATAACAAATAAAACTTGTTACATTTTGGACTTCCTCAACATATGATTATTACTTTGTATAACTTGTCTCTAGAAAAGAGGTAATGTAATAGACATACATTATATTACATTAATTAAATAGATAATAGGAATAAATAGAAATAAATAAATTTAACATTATCTTATAAAAAAGTTTTTAAGAAGCTTCTTAGATGCAATTTTACTTTTATATATGTCTATAGGCAATTGATAGGTTGAAAACTTGGCCAACTAATTGGCCACATGTTGCACATATTGGCTACCTGTAGTATAAGTTGAACATAAGGCACACACATAAAAAAAAACTTATTTTACAAATCAAACATGTGTCCTACAAGTTGAAGATAATTTAGAGGTCTTATAGAATGTTGTCACATAGATCCTAATTAAATAATATATATATATAGAGACAAGGTTGACGCCTTCCTCACTCTTGTCAACTCTTTTTTTGCTTCTAGTTTAGTTTTCTAATCATTGGCAATAGCCATTCCACTTTCTTCTTTTATATATATATATATATATATATATATATATATATTCTTTCTTTTATCATCTTTCTATGAGAAATGCCTCACTTATTTATTTACATTCTACAAATTTTTCTTTTTAACATAAAATGTTTTATTATCTTCATGGTTATATGTAGCAAATGGATGCAAAAGATAAGGTATTTGTATAAAATTCATATAAAGAGTTAGATTTGTCAACAAGTCTTATTTTACAATTAATCCCAACTTTGGTACCTAAAGTTGTAAAATGATTGATTTAATGTCAAGATAATGTAAACTTTAGAATAAGATCTTTATACTTAAAAAATGTGATAAGGAGCCACAACTTTTAAATCATTTGATTGGTTGAAGTTCATCAACATCACTTAGTTGGATTTATATTTAAATTAATGAGTCTTAGAATTCTAAGTGAAAGAAACAAATTCAATTGCACTTTTGTCTTATATAATATGGACAATAATATCTCCAAAAAAATTATTGAATCCATCTTACAAGATGGTTGATAAAATGAATTGAAAAATTATGTCAAAAATGACTTTTAAATAATTTTAAAATAAAATTTGGATTTAATTTTATATCTTTTAAAATTACTAGAATTAAAATATAAGCTGACATATTTAGATTTGTAGTAGAATTAAATACTTTCATCAACGACATGATTTCTTCTCATTTTATATTACATCAGCAACCAATGATAAAAAAAATTGGATGAATTTTTTTCTTCACCAAAAAAAAAATCCTTAATAGAAATTTTAAAATATGACCTTTGAAAGTGGACTTAAAGGTATGAAGATCCCTAAGACATCCCACATTTCCAAAACACTGCAAAATACCTTTGTAACCTGGTTCAACCTACATCCCAAAAAGAAGTGTCAAAATATGAAATTTCCTCTTATTCTTCAAAAGATTACATTCTTTGGAAAATGTACACATGAAGATCCACACAAGCATCTGCTACCACGTTAGCGTCTATCAATTCATCCAACTAGCATACGAAAACCAGGCAAAATCGCTCGAATCTCGAACGTCCATTAAGTCGATCACAGGAAATGTTCTACAGCTAGCCTTCCGAGCAACCTCGATTGGTAGTCTGCCTCTGTGAAATTGTTCATATTTTTCATCACAGGTCCATGGAATGAATTACTTGAGTATGGGAGAGTACCCCTCAAACCAGTGACTGAATCCAGCCGGAACAGGCAAGCCTACAGTCCGAGCTGCATCAAGCAGAAGATTGTGTCCACTAATATACCCAGCTTCATCGCTGCATAGAAACAACACAGCATTTGCCACATCCAGGGGCGTCAAGGGCCTGTTCGGCAGCAGAGCTTTCTTCGCCATCCTCTCCTTGATTTGCTCCAAGGTGTGGGGCTTACCAGTGGAGTCTTCCATCACGCGCTGGAACATGGGTGTAGCGGTGGCGTCGGGAGAGACCATGTTGACACGAATGCCGTAGCTTCGAAGCTCTAAAGCAGTAGATCTGACCAGCCCTTTCAGCGCCGTCTTGCTGGCACAGTATGTGTGGGGGCCTAACCCAGCCATTTGGCTCGCGGTGCTGCCCGTGCAAACTATAGCGCCGCTTTTGACGGATTTCATCGCCCGAGTGGCGTGTTTTATGCCCACAACTGCGCCTCGCAAGTTGACCGCCAAGGTTTCGTCGAAATCGTCTAGATTGAGCTCTTCAATGGATCCCAATGCCCCAACGAATCCTGCGTTGCTGAAGTAGACGTCAAGCTTCCCCTTCCAGCTCATGGCTTCATCCACCACTGCTGCAACATCTTGTTCTTTCTTAACATCACAGTGCACGAACTTGGCTTGTGAACCGAGTTCTGAGGAGAGCTGGCTGCCTCCCTTAGTGTTGATATCCGCAATGACGACGTAGGCGCCATTTTTGGCGAATAGGCGGGCCGTCGCTTCCCCTATGCCACTTGCACCACCCGTGACGATCACCACCTTGCCTGCAAACCTGTGATGAGCTTACAAGCACTGATTTCATCCATACAACCAAGTACTGCACCTCTATCACAAGGTGAAGAAAGACCTTACTCGGACTCATACATCTGGTGCATTAGCTTAAGACGCATGTAACGCAAGCTACAAGATCGAGCCCACCCCTGGCATTTAAAGGAGCAGTGTGGAAGAGGAAACACAAATAAATGATTCACGAAGAAAATGAATCCATTGCTCTCGCGAGTCATAGCTAAATAGGAAGTTTTGAGAATTACAGAGACAGAGGAAGGTAAAGCGATGTACCTGTCTCCCCAGCTTGGGCCTGCAGCTTCGTCTGTATGAAAAAATGATGCATAACAATGTCGGGGCAATGCGCATAAGTCTGGGATTACCGTTTTTGATCCCCTGAAGGTGTTCAACAGCCCATTTTGTTTGATTACAACAAAGGCTCTTCTTAAACGACGGTAGCATGCATTTCAAACTAGAATTCTTTAGCCAGACTGGGGGTATCCCAAGAGAACGAGGATACCCGGTTGCTTTAGTGAGATCATTACACATTGACTTGCATCAAACAAGTCTGACATTATCTCCGTATTTAACCCTCCTCCCCTGATCCGAAAACTAATTGCCCACACAACCAATCTTGCTCCAACTTCGATCCAACAAACCAATAATCACTGGCTGAATATTATCCTTCGTGCCGATCATAGTCAACGGATTCTCAACAAATTCCATGACACTATCAAGATATTCAAATACCCAGGTGTTAAGACGTTCTGACCTTCACAAGACCCGCCAAAAACCGCGGAATAAGCAAACTTATCAACATCTATGCAAAGAAAACTAAGAGTTTCTACAAAAAGATTCTAACCGTTCTAAACTGTGCAATCATTAGAAGAACATTCGAGTAATGGAATTGTTGATTCAGGTGTCAGCCATAGGCAGACCAATGTCGTTGCTTTCCATTAATTGGAAAAATTCTAGGTGCCCATTGACGATGGCACATGTCAAACATTAGAGACAGACAGTGCACTTGTATGTTGGTGAATTAACCAACTTATGTACATGCATTCTTACTTCCATCTTTTTCACTGTTGATCTTCACATGAGCTATTTTTTCTAAGATAGGTATTATTGCAACGATTTACTTTTGTTCATAATTTGTGCTACACAAGTTTGACACCAAGTATCATAAATGGCGGGCATTCATAGAAGATGCTCTCTTAGACAAGTTGGACTGGGTTAGACGAATTAGAGGTTTCCGCCGCGAAATAGTTGTGGACTCACAAACTACTAGTGGATGATGTTATGTGCCGTAGCGGGACCCACAGATATTACAACAGTACGTTGTGTTGCGCAGGACAAACGGATAAAGATGGAGTTAGAAACCGTCAGACACCAACAGCACATCTGAACTATCGAAGCCAGTCACAAGTTGTGTACCAGGAGGCAGGTACGGCGATTGGTGGCCGGTCATTGAAGGGGCTGGGAGGTGCAGTCCCCACATTAAATGCAGAGGTGCTACTGCGCAGTCAGAACGCAAACGGAAAGGAATGTTTTGACTCCTCAAACTCTCGACCGTCCTACACAGACAGCAAGATCCAGGATGGAAGCTGCCAACGGAACTCAAGAATTCGAGAAAGCAAGAACTCAAAAGAATAGAGGTTTAAGAACAGATAGGGCTAGATGGCAAGCTGACGACTGAAGGATAAGCTTCGATGAGTAATAGCGGTACAACTCCTGCAAACTGAGGATAGTCTAGAATGAGTGATAATTCCCGATCACTTCAGAGCTGAAATTTTCATCTACTCACGGGATTCCGTCACAAATGTGCTAGGAAGGAATCGCCAGAAAGGGATTGGCCAGTGTTTTTCCCACAGAAGCCATAATAAGAACGGCGCTTTAAGAAATATTAAGATTGATAGTCAATCTGACTTCGCTCATCGCAAATCAAACTCTCGAATGCTCCCATGATCATTCCGACCATTCCATTGACAAACCCTGACGGAACTATCCGCGTTTCCCAGTGAATCACCTGTAAAATAAGAATGATACACTCTACCGCCCTCGCATTCTGGAGCTTGAGAGATTTCACGAGGATATGCAAGAGGTGGAGGGAATCATTAAAACAACTCACCTCAAACAAGTTCTGAGATGGAACATGCTGCAGACAAGCAGTAGAAATCGGCGGGAATCCGCGAAATCCAAGCAAGTCGGAAGGACCACAGCATAGATCACAGCAACTCACAACTTGCGCTGTACAGCCTGATGCTTCTAATCCTCATTCTTGCGGCCAGCTAGTCCTCCACTCCTTCCTCTCTGGATTTCATTCATGAGTTGACACATTTTAAGAATCCGACCACGTCCAACTAAAAATCCTGGTCTTCTTGTCGCCTCCTCCACTTCTTCCGTTACAAGACTCTCGCCATGACATACTAACAACGTTCTCACCTCTCCACACAAGTTCCAACCCACAATCCCATTCCATAGACAAGACAACCCACTCTACCCACAAGGAAGTAACTTTCCACCCAAGGTTCACTACAAAACCAAAAATAAAAATAAAGCAAAACACAGAATAGCAGCAACCTCGCAGACAGTTGAGATGGAGTCAACTATGTTGAGAGCACAGAGAAGTTCCAATTGATGAACGACTCAACCCGTTGCTATTTTTGCCCGCTGCACTATTACCCCAAAGATTCCCAGCTAAAGCTAATTTGTACCGCAAAAGACGCCATGAGAACATGACCACATACCACTATCACCTCCGTCTCCGGCGTCTATGAGCTCACCAATCACTCCTCAAGGCTTTTAAAGAAACGTATCCCTGTGAAGTGTGGGATGTAGAACACTAATTCGGCAGAAACCTGATGCAGTGCTCGGTTGTAGCTATAGCGCAGCGCACACTGGTCACTGGCTGCACAAGGTGGTGAGACCAAGGAGTGATTAGGGTAGCATGAGCTCTGAGATTAGCTTGATTGGAGCTTGAGCATATATTGTAAGTTGATTCCTACAGTAGTAGAAGTATTAGGGTTTCTGTAGCATGGCCAGCGATGCTACGGCAATTCATGTGCAGCCTTAGATTGCACGGGGGAACCAGGCGTACCGAGGACAAGCGGAAGACGAGTGAATTGCAACAGAGGTAATCATGATGTGGGCAGGCGATATGGCCTGCGCATTGCAGTACCCAGATGTGTCACGAAACAATCTCTTCAGACAAATCCCAGATGAGGTATGAGCCAATGGTTACGAAAAAGAAAAATAAATAAAAATAAAAAATGATGCGAATGCGAAACTTCACACAGAAGCCCTGTGCAATTTAGGTCCGACGCAGATCAAAGGTTGTTCTATCTTAAAGAACACAGTCCTAAAACGCTAAGTAATCCTCTCATGCCCAATCCCAACCGGCACAAGATCGGGATTCACTTCTACCAGTCACAGATCTCGAGGTATAATACAATCAATCCAACAAGTCAACCACCTTGGAACAAACTTCTTAACATTGCAACTGTGATACAGAGATATTACGAGTTACAACCCACAGACAAGGGAAGCTTTACTGGGTGCAAATGCGTCAAATAGCGCAATTCACTGTCACAGATTTTGCGTAGCAACGGACATCGACCAGGGTGAGTCTTGATGACGCTCCAATTCAGTGTCGCTTCGGCTTGAAAGCGATGCACATAGTGAAGGATAACTCGAGCTTAAAGACCAAAGTAATTGCGCCACCCGAAAGGCAAGCGGGAGATAAAAAGAAGAGCGCAAACAGAGCCAATACAAGTGAGTCTGACTTCAGCGCGTACAAGGTTCAGGAGGACAAATTTCAAGCTAGATTCTCAGCGCAAGACACACCCTCTCGTAACAAAGAACTTGCAATAAAGCAACGGAAGTATGGATTCTCGACGACCCACACATTGTTCCCCCCGGTGCACCACGTTGGATTCGCCACGTCGGATCCAGCTGGACCTGCAATCGTGGCGAAGAGGTGCTTTTTGTGCTGTCAGAAGCATAGAATGGAGTATATAGTATGTGTACAATATTGTATGTATGTATGTATGATCGTATTTATATGATTTATTTTTTATTTTTTTCTGAGGTTTTTTAAATTATTGCAAATGATTCATAGCATCTCTTTGATACTTGGTACGAAGAATCTAAAATAAGGCAGTAGTAATTCATCTTTCAGTATTGTCTATAAAAGGTTTGAGTCACGTGGCTTTTTATCATCATATAAGTAAATTAATAATAATAATAATAATAATACGTTCTAAAATTATGAAGGTCTGTACGACGTTATCTGTAAATTAACGACGCGAATTTCATTGCAAAAATTTAATAACCTTAGAGTTGTGAGGTCATTTGTCTGCAGAAGAAAACATCGTCTCAAATGACTTGACTTAAAATGTTTCTATCATATTAAAGCGTAATTATAATTGATAATTATTTTTATAAATCAATTCGAAAATAAATAAATAAATAATACAACACAACAATGTAATTGAAATACACTAATAGACTAATCTAGATGTGTTCTAAAACACATGATTTTTAAATTATAAACAATTATTAATATTATTGGATTGATTTGAATTATCTTCTTCTTGTACATATTTTTTTCTAAATCAATTGATGCTATTGCTTAACATGGTTTATTGTACTTAAGTATTGGTCGAAATAAATAAATGAATATATTATGTGTAATTATGTGATTATTGATGACAATTTTTCTATATTTGTAATCCAGTAAATAAATCAAATAATGTAAACACTAATGACTTTCTTTTCTATTTCGAGCAAAGTATTTTGATACCCAAACCGTTTATGAAAGGTTTGAAACATAAAACATGAAACATTCTCAATCAATACCATTTAATTACTCTACACACACACACACACACACACACATATATATATATATATATATGTGTGTGTGTGTGTGTGTGTGTGTGTTTATCTTATTGTTTTAAGTGACATTTTTTTTGATCCCTAGCAAATTAACATGTTGCAATAGATATGCTGTTTTAAGTTACTGCTGAATATAATTGTCATAGTAAGAATTAGAGTTGTGCCTATGAATATTTTCTGATTAAAAAAGGTCATGGAGGAAAAAACATTGTGTTCATTTAGTTGATTGTGCTTTTGGGCACATGTCGCATCAAGTAATTTACCTTCAATTTTATTTTTTATTTTAGCTTAACATGGAAACTTATATCTGGTATTGATATTGCCTTTACATATTCTTAAAATTAATGACAAGTTATTATAGTTCTATAATTTGACTGTTGATTCTATTTTTTCTTCATAATCACCCAGTTGATTGTTATTGCTTCTGCATACTTATGAAAAATAAGAATAAAATTAAATAATAATAATAATAATAATAATAATAAAGCCATTTAAAATATAGGTTATCAAATTCAAATGAATAAGTGTTATGCCTGATCAAAACGTTTCAGTACTTGTGACTCCAATTTCAAAAGTAATATTTTTCTACATTTATTTTCAACCCCCTCCCTCACACATTTGCATATATGTTTATGTATTTTATTTATATATTACTTCTGCATGTTTGATATGTATTGTGTTAGTACAGAATGGGGAAACTGATTTTGCATGTGTAAAAAAGCATGAAGAAACAACAGGTTGGATAGAGTTAGAATTAATTTACTCTCGATTTACATCTCAAATCATTACAAAAACAATGATTACATTGTAAGTTTTTCACAAAATAAAATAATTTACCTGATGATTTATGGTACCATTGGTTATACTGTACATATCTATTATGAATCACTAATTCAAAACTCTCTAAAAACATGTGAAAAAAAAAAAAAAAAAAAAAAAACAGAGAAAAAGAAGGAGGTTTAGTTGAACGAATTTGCTTATAAATATCTCAAAACATCATTTTTGTCAACCTTCATATAAACAAAGAAAGCTCAAATGGGCATAAAAAAGTGAGAAGTAATTAATATGAGGAAAGTCGTTACTGGGTCATGTTTGGGATGCCATTTATGGCTGAATGTGTTCAGAATTCTACATGCAATGACCATGTTTAGAATGACTGTATACAAACCCATATCAGTCAATTCAACAGCTTGAGGCGGATCAGTCCCGTTCACACTGCTTGGAAGGCGCTATAAAAAACACCTTGTTCACACAGCGGCTGTTTGGCATGTTTTAGCGAAGGAGTTGTTTCCTTGCTGTAAATTGTTCGCTTCGTGCAGTAGTGTTGCACAAGTCGTTTCGTGGCTTGTTAGCTTCGCGAAGGGACTTCTTCGCGTCTATTTTTTCCTGTTTCATGGAGTTTCATGGAGGTAAGCTTGTTGAGCTTTAGCTTTCTCGCGTTCCTTGCCATCCATGAGCACTACCTTTACGATTACATTGTCGTTTTTTATTTTTTGTATTTTTGGTTTTCCTAAACTCTTCTTGTGTTTCGATTTGTCCTCGCACTGTTGCGGCGCTTGTACTTTATGCGAATGTGCAGTTGTTCTGTTCTTTTTATGTTCCTATTAGGATTCTCGCTTGATTGCTGCTACTGGTGTTGTTAGTGTGATGTTAGTGCTGCAGTGGATTTGACATGACGTACTGTTGTTTTGATGTTTATGGATTATAGTGGCAGCGTAGGGATCCGGGGAAGTATTAGGGGATTGCACGTGTGAGAGGCTTTGAGCTTGCGGTGTTGGTATAATTTGGTGATTGCAGTGAGGTTTCATGCTGTTGTTTAAGAAGAGAATTGGATTGGGAGGGAGTTTGTTGAGAGTTTCTGAGAGTCTGTGCGAGTTTTTGATTCATGAGGCGAGTCTATCCTGAGTACCGGTTGCTTACTTCGGGGCTTAAATTTTCGTGTGATGAGAATAGATGAGATGAGATGAGTCTTCCGGCGAAGTGGCAGAAGGAGGAGACAGGGGCCGTTGTCGGGAAGGTGCTCGAAGGGAGTGGGGGTGGTACTGGGAAGCAGCAACATGTAGGTGTGGGGAGCAGCATGATAGCGGAGTCTGCTTCTGCATACGGAGGGACAGGGGAGTTGCGTCCCGCTAAAGTGGCGCGACATGGTGATCGTGGAGTTGAGGCTGGAGAGAAGGCCGAGCTTGTCAACAACGGTTCCTATGCGAATTTCAAACCTGGGAGAGATGTTGGCTGCTCCGGGTCGTTTGAGGGTGCCGTTGCAGACGGGAATAATCTTCAGGAAGTGCAAGTTCAGACAATGAATACTGCTGTAAAGATCCTTGGAAGTGGGAGTGTAGAGGGGAAGAGCGATCGGGAGGGGTGGGATCCAATGGGGATGGGTTTGGAGAGGAAGGCAAGTGAGGAGAAGGAATGCATGGATGCTTTTAAGGAGTGCAGTAGCAGTAAGGAGCTTCTTGGTAGGGTTAACGTGAAGGGGGGGGAGCGAGGAGAGAGTGTTGGGGAAGCAGGGCAAGAGTTGCTGGATAACACCTGTAGGGACGGAAATTTTGACGGCTTGAGTAAGAAGTGCCCTCGCGAGGGTGAAGGTAAGGTGGCCATGACGGAGGGCCCTACGGATGTGAAGTGGGAGGAGCAGCATGAGAAAGCGAAAGAGAAAGAGAAGAAGGATGAGAAGCGTAGTGAGGGAAAAGAGGATGTGCTGCCGTCACTGCAGTTGATGCAAGCGCACTTGGATGTAAATAGTGAGAAAGACAATGAGAAGGATGAGAAGGAGAAGGAGAAGGAGAGAGGCGACAAGGAGAAAGAGAGAGCGCGGCAACGGGAGCGGTCGCGTGACAAGGAGAAAGAAGCTGTGCGCTCGGAGAAACGGGAGAAGAGAGAGAAGGAGCGTGATCGGGATTCTCATCGGCGAGAGCGAGAACAACGAGATGGTATCCTCGTAGTCAAAGGGGAGAAAGGGGAAGGAAAGGGAGTTGGGGTCGACAACATGGATGTGGATCGTAAGCCTGTGAGGGAAGTCGATGAGCGAAAATTGGTCGAGAAGGAAGACCACGAGCGGGTGAGGGACCGAGATCGTGACAAGGAGGGAGATGAAGCGGGCGAGGGTGACAAGCGCAAGAAACGGGGTCGCGAGCAGGAGAACGATCGTGATTCTTTGAGTAATATTGGCACTGAAGGTGCAGGAGGGGATAAAGAAAAGAATGCTGATCATGGCCAAGGAGTACATCAGCGGAAGAGGATGTTGCGCCCCAGAGCGCAGTCGAATCCTGCTAATCGAGATCCCCGATCACGATTTCGGCCCGAAGACAGTGAAGGGTAGGTTTAAACTCGTCTCTTTTGAGATATGATGTATCGGAGGTGGTGTTCAATGCTTATGTTTCTGCACAATTGCTTACGTCCCATTGTGTATTGTTTTGGGGAATGTCAACTTAGTGTTTTGCCCTGAACACTTAGCTCTTCTGCATCTGCGAATAAAAATGTCAGCAGCGGTGGCAGTAGTCTTTGGTTTATGTGATCGGCATCTGTGAATTAATTAGTTCTGTCCTGAACTGGCAGGGCGTCAATTTAGCGGGTAATTGAGATCGTAGAAAATTTTTCTTAATCTTGGAACCTTCTTAGTTTACTTCTTGCTCAAACCTTAAAATGCAAGTTTTTAGTTTATCCATCAGAACCTATTCTTTCATTGTCTGCTTGTCTACAGTCTTGTGACATATTTTGCTCTTTGTGTAATGCAGGACTCAAGGTTGGTGTGGCGTACTCTTCGTATGAATTTGTCACTGTCAAAGGCTTAGCTCTTGATTGTTGCAGAGTTTGCAAAGATCAATATTGATAGTGCCATTGTGGATATGAACGAACATGGAACACGTCCATCTGTTAATATGATATGACGCTTGATACGATGCTGCAATAGGTCTTTGTCGTTTCATTACATGGGCTTCTGTCGTTCTTACATTGCCCACTTTGTTCATGCCAGGCAGGCCAGAAAGTTTATTCATAAATTACAGACCTGGAGAAGGAATTCCAGAACTTGCGAAATTTCGTAAGGAGTATGAGTCTGGAGAGCGAATCAGTTCAGCTAATGGTTCGGGACCTACTGTCGAAATACGCATTCCTGCTGAATACGCCACTACTAATAACCGCCAGGTTGCAGCTCAAGGGTTTCTCAATCGTGCAGTAGACGTAAACTTTTGAATCAAATGAAGTGCTTGTGAAAGTGTTCGTCTTAAGTTTTATCTTTTGTAGAAAAGTACCAAATATTTTGGTTGTTTCACATTATACTACACTACTTACTTTTGGTGTATTGAGGGAATACTAACTTGCCTTACCCCAGTATCCTGTTTGGTGTCTAACCTTTACAGTTTACACTAATTGTACACTCTAGCGTCACTTGTGCATTCTGCTCAGTCTTGTTACTTTTTCTTTGAACGGTTTTTTAATGGCAGATTCGAGGCAGTCAACTATGGGGAACAGACATATATACAGATGACTCAGACATTGTTGCAGGTATATTCATTAGTTATGCTCACCAGTTTTCAAGCTAGATAGTTGCGCTTTATGTAGTATGCGGGTTTGTCAAGGATCATAATAATAATCTGGTTTAGCTCTAATTTGTTTAAGATTTTTATATTTTTCTGAAATATCGTTTCGTCATGCATGCAGTCCTACTGCATACAGGATACTACTCATCTTCACCTGTTCTACCTCCAAATTCAACATTAGAACTGCGGGCCACCATTCGTATTCTTGAATCTCAAAATAGTAAGTACATGGACAAGTATGCGAAAAGTGTATTGTGTTGTCCTTTTTTATCTGGCAAGCACGTGTGCTGTTACTGTATTTCAGTGAGTTTTTTTGATTTGGAACAATATTTTGTTGGGCTTGTTGTCATAGTGTATATTTCTACGTTAAGAAACGGTCTGCGGTCGCGTGCCTGGGGAGGTGGAAGTGGGTGCAGCTACACCGTCGAGAGGTGCCGTATAATGAAGGTGAGACTCGCTATTAAACGCTTGCAAATGAGTAGCTGACTGATGAGGTGTAACTGAGTGGTAATTATAAGGATTGTTACAAAGATCATTTGTGCAAGGTCTTGAAGCCATCAAAATTCTAATGCATAAAGTCTGAAAAGTTCCTAATTATTAGTGCATTTCAGTATGGTGTTGGCTGAAAGCAGGGTCATGCTAGATTTCGGGCATAATGATTCCCCCTCGTGTTCAGGTGTCTTCACGGTTGTTGGTTTGGTTACGCATTGTGCAGCAAGGAGGGTTCACTGTTGAGCTCAAGCCATGTTTGACTCGCACTCCTCCAATCGCTCCAACTCTCGCACCCGCAGCATCAGAGCGAACTGTTACGACGAGAGCCGCATCTTCTGTAATTACTCGATTCTTCTCTGTATTCATTTTTGTAGGTGCTAAAGGTGATATTTGTGAAATTAATTTGGGGATTCATCAGCACGCTTTATTGGGCAATGCAACGGTGAACGAGTATGCTAGAAGAATATGCAGCATTTAACTTTGCTTAAACATTTTAGTTTTATTTTAGGAATACTGCTTTATGTGTGATGCTTCTTGTGCACTCAAGTAATTCGTTGTATTTATGTCACTATCAGAAATTTGTAACTGATCGTTAAGTATCTCAAGTGCTACATTGTTCTTTGGTCGTCAATTTTGTAATGTGATATGCAGAATGCGTACCGGCAGCAAAGATTTATGCAGGAAGTGACAATACAGTACAATTTATGCAATGAACCGTGGTAAGTCATGTTAAAACTCGTTGATAGTATCTTAAGTATGCATTTATGGGCTTGCCAATCATGTAGTGCATGTATTTTGGGGCCATGTTTTTGGCATGCTGCATGTTTCCTTCCCAGCTTATGTCCACTGTTGTATAAAGAAATAGCGATTTTTTGAGACGTGTCATGGGAGATGGACGTCCTTCAACTGCATATATTTTTCAAGTTTTGAAGCTCCGCATTCAGAAATGGACACTTTTTCTATAATGCACTCTTGATACTGTTACAGCTTGTCTATCAATGTACTATTTAGAAGCCACTTCTTGCAACTATGCAGGAAACTATGAAAGAGCCCATTTTTTCTGTAGTCTATTTGTGTCTCTCAGTGCTGACTCTTGGTATTCGTTCATTTCTCTTTTGTCCCTTTACAGGGCTAAGTATTGCATGAACAACGTGGCTGACCGTGGGTTGAAGAAATCTCAATATACGTCTGCCCGACTGAAAAAAGGGGAAGTGCTATATGTGGAGACCCTGGTTCATCGGTCAGTGTACTCGCCCTGAACGGTCTAGATCTTGGTTAGATGATATCTGTAGCCCATGATTTCACAGAAAACAAGGACGTGAATTCCAGCACTTGTTGCTCTTTCTAGGCCGCTACAGTTCTGATTACATATATCATATATATACAATGTGTATATCTTGCCAGATTCTAGACATACTATAACACATGTTAATTATAATCAAGCAGTTATAACACCTTGAAGGATATGCAGTCATAAGTTCATTATGGTGATGTAGGTACGAATTAGCATATGATGGAGAGCGTGCGACGTGCAATGGTGCAGCTACTGCTACTTCTCTCCCTCAAGATAATTCAGGGATGGAAAAGGGTAAGGAGAAATGGGGTGCGGCAGAACGAGCTTCGGCAGTTGTAGAAAAAGAACCAATTTTGCGAACTCATAGCGTCGAAAAGTCACATGGAAACCATCCAACCAATGGGTACCACGGCAACCACAATGGTGAGCCATATGAGTATTATCGATGGTCGAAGTGTAAACGACCTCTTTCACTTTCATGCATGAAAAGAAAAGGTGTACCCTTGCCAGAAGATTTTATTGAGGTGGGTGTTATGTTTTGATTATTTATTTTTACGGTGGATGTCTCTAATTTTTTGAGTATGTGCTCTGTATTTCAGAATCATAACCGTTCTTGTTTTTTCGAAGGTACACTATTTTTATTCTCATTGGGTTTTGTCTTGTCTTGGAGATGAGGCGTTATGAGGTGCATTTCTCTAGTCAACTTCACGTAAATATTTAGGAGTTTCCATCTCATTTTAGAGGAATGCGTTCCTTTTTTTGTAGGTCCTGGAAGAAGGTTTGACATGGGAAGAAGTTCAGTGGTCTCCAACAAGTGTGTGGATTCGAGGAGCAGAATATGTTCTCAGTAGAGCACATTTTTTTTCTTTCGATAAGGATGATATGGAGGATTAGAGGTAATTGTAGTCATTGCTATCATATTTTCCGTTCGATCAGCTTTCAGGATCAGATTGGACTCGTATACTTGATTAAGAGCACATCATGTCCACTTGGTATTAAACAAATCTGGTCTGTTATGGCATGATACTTGCAGGTTTTTGATATTCCGAAGTTTTAGAGGGTTAAGTACCCTTACTTTGGAATTCCCAACTTTACAACTTATTCATTAGATTGCCGTGTATGTTGAGTTTTGAAAGTAGGAAATTCCAGTGAACCGTAGAATTTGCGAAACACGTCTTCTCATATGTCGTTGAGTCATAGGAAAGAGAGAGCTTCAATTGTATCAAGTAACGGATACCTTTATTCCTCCTTTGGTAAAGTGCGAACCTTGTGCGGTCGGTTTTGGCTTATGTCATTGGCGTTGGTTTTCCCAGAGCGACTTATGCCGGAGATTACTTAGCAACTCCTACAGTAGTCTGAAATGGTTTTGCAAGCAGTGTGGTACAGCTTTTTCCTCGTTACACAGGTACAGTTCTCACCGAGTCAACAAGGGGATGCGGTGCCACAATTGATTCTTGGAATTTTCGGAATTTCGATTCTGATTTTAGACTAATTTCCGTCAACAAGGCGACGAAATCCACATAACATAACTTTTTGTCGTTTAGAATACTTGCAACATGCGGATATTCTTATATTTTTGTTAGGATGTTGTTAAGCGAAAATGCCTTGGTAGGTGGAACGTAGAAATTCATTACCAGAAACATCTTGTTCGTAGTCATCGTTGACGGATTTGGTGCTTTGTTGTTCAAATTACAAAATAAGTTTGGTTGTCAGCATTGCTTGTATTAGAGTTTAAAAGCATTTAAGTCAACTTTCAAAAAAATGATGGTTTTTCAATTTGGGATTTTTCATGGCACATGTATCAATCTATCCATGGAAAATACACAAATATGTACTTGGTGTTGTATTTAGAAGACTTGATTTTGGTTTACAATATTTACTTGTATTCTATTTGCTACAACGTGGGAAATATACAAGAACACATATACAAGGTTGGCAAATATTTGCAGAAGAAAATTCTTACTTTGAGTCCAAGATTAGGTCAATATCAACCCAGTAGATATTTTTATATCACTAGTTTTAATCAAAAACTTATTCCCATTTCTTTGCATGTTATATTAATTGGTTGGTCAAACTATGTATATATATATATAGAGATATAGGTATATTTTTGTACATGCACACAGTTGCTTCACAAGTAGAATCTAATGGGTTATGTTTTGTTTATTTGTTTTTTTCTTGGGTCTTGTGGAAAAACAAGTTTGTATTGAAATATATTATACACATTTGAAATAGTAAAGAACAATGATTAATAAGATTCTAAATTTAAAAATTAATAAAACGGTTTATTTGTTTTCTTTTGTTTTCTTTTTTTTCTTTTGATATCTTTTAAAAAAAGAATCAAAAGAAAGAATTGAAGTATTGATAAAATTTTAAATACAAGAGACATGTACCTATATAAAATTGTTAAATAATAATATATTTATGAATAACTAAGAAGAATAAAATATAATATAATATAAGTAAAGTTTTAGAATAGTTTTGAATAGTTTTTATTCTAAAACTGTAAAGGTTTAGAATACAAGTAAAGTTTTTATTCTAGTTCTGAATTTTGCAAACATATAGAGAAATTAAAGAGTTTTAAACTAAGACAAACATACAAAAAAAATATTTAAAAAATAGAAATAAAATAAATTTTATATTTGTATATGCTAAGTAAAACAAGGCTATATTTTTTATTCTGTTTTATTTTTAGAATCTCCAAGTACACAAGACAAGTATCAAACTTATTAAAATACTTGAGAAGAATTTTGTTTAGTAACATAAAACATCCAATTATAGATCCAACCTGCATCTATAACTTTTGTGTAATATTTTCTCATGAAAATATTTTTATTTTATCTATCTTTGCTTATTTGTAAATACTTATATTTATTTAACTAGTATAAATTTTATTAACACTAAGAGGTTTTATAAGTGATGTGAATAATCTTGTATAATAAAAAAGAATTTATATAAGAGATTTTGTATAATTAATACTTTATAATTTATATTTTTAAAATTTCAATTTTTTTGTCAATAAAAATAATTTTGATATTTTAAATAAGATAAAAATACAAAGAATATGGAATTTTAAAAATACATATTTTGTTTAATAATATAAATCAAAATAAATAATTTTTTTAAACATAATTTTTTAATAATATTTAAGAATTTCAATATAAAAGTAATAATTTTCTAATTTTTAAATGAGATATCTTGGATTCTGTATATATATATATATATATATATATATTATTACTATTGAGATAATTTTACCAAAAATATTATTTTTAAAAAACATTATAAGTAATATTTAATTAAAAATCTCTTAAGTTTTTATTTTTATTTTTATTTCGAAATTTTAATTTTTTAAAACTTTAAGATAAGTTATGTTATTTATTTTTGTATTATTTTTATACTATTATCTTATTAGATAATGATATAATATATAATCAAAGAAATATTAATTAAACCACCAAAATCTTAAGTTAATCCTCCATACTTCTATGATTTGATTTCTATGACTATTTTTTTTAATTTGGTAATAAATAAAACTTGTGAACTTAATGAATAATGAAAAAGATCAATTTAAGATTCTCCTTAAACGAGGTGGAAGAAGAGATTTGAGATCTCTCTTCATCTCATGCTTGCTCTAATTTTGAAGCACTCTTAGATGCCTAATTATACCACTCACATAGTATGAGCACATCCTCACTTAATACCATCTATTTTCTTCTCATCCCTCTCTTCTATCATGGACATACATATTCATTCCAATAATTACTTATATGATTCATTAGAAGTAGATAAAAGTATATTAATATTTTCAAGGACATGAATCTCAAAGAAAAAAAATCTCAATTCATTCTTGTGTCACTCAAAAAGACTCGGAAATCATTCAAAGATGGTTATATATTGAATAAGAATGGCTATTGCTAAAGATAAGAAGATTAAAAAGTTTTGAAACAAGACTAAAAACTAGAAAGGTGTTGGCAAAAGTGAAGAAGACTTCACTCTTGCTTCCATATATACTCTCTAACTAGGAGCTATATGGCGATGTTCTATAGAACCTCCAACACATGTTGACTTTGCTAGACACATGTCTTAACTTGTAAGGCAAGTTATTTATATATGGACCACATAGTTGGTTTATTCTACAAGCTACTAGCACCTGTAATATGTAACTAACTTGTTGACCAAGTTTTTAGCCAATCAATTAATTACAAGCATGTATAAAGTCAAAGTAGCATCTATGAAGTTTCTAAGAAGTTTCAATAGGAAATATTATGAAATTAGTTTATTTTTATCTACTTCTATTTAATCATATAAGTAATTATTGGAGTAAATATGTATATCCATGACACCTTGTGTCATTAAACATGGTTACTACTCCTTTGAATTTGCAAAGAAATTAAAAAAAAGATTAAATGAATATGTTCACGAGTTTTTCTATATGTGAATGGAAGTAAGATAGGATGATTTAAAATTTAGGTGGATTGATTTAATATTTTCCTATGATCATATATAATATTTATTAATTATCAATATTTTTAAATAAATAATAAAAATATATTAATATAAAAATATTATATTATATAAGACTTTATATATTTAAATTTAGATTTAAAATTTTTATTCAATATAAAAAAATTTAAATAATCTATCTTAATAATGTATTTATAAATAAGCTTCTATGAACAGGCAAAATCTAGTTCTTTAGATTAAAATCTCTATTTCAAATCTTTATGAATTATCAAAACTATTTTTAATTCTTTATTTAACAAGTTGTAGGATTTAATGCTAACAAATTCAGTAAGGCAACATTGCATAGTTTTATTTTATTTTATTTTTCTTTTTCTTTTATTATATACTATTATCTAAAATCCATAATATTTTTACTACTTTTGTATTGTCAAAATATAAATTTCTACTATTAGATACCATTTTATTTTTTATTTTTTTTATGTCTATTGTATATTGTTAGTTTATCATTCTAAATTAGTTGTTGGAAGTTCAAGACTTATTAGGACCCTTGATATAGCTATTGTCAAAGAATATTATAAAATAAACTTAATCTCCACTCCCATGCTCTTTGAACAATGGGGCATTTTCAAAAGGTGTGTAAAATTGTCGTTTATGCATTTGAAATACACAAAGGGCATCCTTTTCCAAATCCTAGTGCCTAATATTTGTATGCAACATGAGTTATATTGAAAAAAACATTTACAAAGATATTTTGATGGATATATTCACATTCAAGTAGTATTTCTAAAACTTTCCGAATCCCTAAGAAAATACGTTTCAAGTCAGAATCTCATTGTAGGGATAGTCAGAAATTGGGGAGAAGCCAACCCAAGAAAAGACTGAAGGGAGGACTTCAATGATCAGAGGGGCAAGGGGAACAAGACAAGGGAACAACTTGTTCCACACTGTTCTACAAGCGTTCCATTGGGTGGGCATGGTGATAGACACTGCCGTGCGGTGTGCTGATAGGGCCCCTATCGTGGTCCGCTGACAGATAGACCTACAGACGAACAGGTGCGGAGGGGGACTGGGGATTTCCTTCCTTGGGCACCCCGTTTGGGATTCTGGCCTGAGATTTTGTTTGTGCTGTGTTGAATTGGTTTTTTTAATGCTATCGAGGCCGTTTCTCGCCCAATCTTGCATCAATCTTGCAGAATACACTTGTGGAGAAATCCATGAGAATCCGCCGCTGTGCGTGGGCAACCATGGATCCGTTGTGAGCTTGGATTCCTCCACGATGCTCCTGTTGTCTTGTGTGTTGATTCGCGACGTTGCCGTTGTTCACTTGTCTCGCTGCAGCCCGGATTGTGATGCTGGGGTTCATTGTTCACTTGTCTTTTGCGACGTTTGTGTAGTGTCGTAGACTGATGTACGAAATTCTGCCTGGGTGGCGAAGGATAAGGACTGTGTTGCGTGGTTACTCAAGAAGGATTCTGGAACTCCAGGCTGAATCCTTGCAGGAGTGGCACTGCGCGCTGGACAGGGAGAATCTCTCGAATTTTCGGAGGAGTTGAAGGTTGAAGCAATAGTTGCCGAATTGTTTAAGAGAAGGTCAAGTGGGTGTCTTTTTTTATGGGGGTTTGAAGGTGGCAAAACAATGGTAATGGCTATGGCGGAGCTGGGTTCAGCACTTTCGAGGTCTAGTTTCGCAGTGTCTTCCTTCGCTCCGTCGTCTTCATCCCAGAAGGCTGCAGCTGATGTCCTCTGCAACGAACTCATCTCTTCCCGGGACTTTTTAACAGGGGCTGTGATACCTTGTAAGCCAGGAAGGTTTCAGCTGCACACGAAGCGAGGGCAGCGACAGTTGCCCGTATGCAGGGCAAGTTCTCTTCTCGAGCTTGTGCCCCCTCATGTGAAAAAGAACCTGAATTATGAACTTCTCAGGTTTGACACTTTGAAAAGAAAGGCAGTGGACCTGGTGGTGGTGGGTGCAGGACCAGCTGGCTTGGCTGTCGCCCAGCGAGTTTCTGGGGAGGGTGTGGATGTGTGTGTTGTCGACCCCGCCCCACAAAGCGTATGGCCCAACAACTACGGTGTGTGGGTAGATGAGTTTGAGGACCTAGATCTTTTGGATTGCTTGGATTACACCTGGGGGAGCGCTGTTGTGTATCTGGACGACGCTAGAAAGAAGACTTTGGAGAGACCATATGGCCGCGTTAATCGTACTCGGTTGAAATCTAAAATGCTTGAAGCTTGCATTGCGAATGGCGTACAATTTCACCAGGCTAAGGTTATCCTTCTCTTCGTCACCTGTGTGGATCTGCAATTGGTGTGTCTAATGTAGCCATGTAGGGGTCCTAAAAAATCAGCTTCATGTGATTCTATGTATCAATCAGTCGTATGTCTCGGCGAATGAGGTAGTATGGACCTACTATTCAGGGTGAGGACTCGATTTGTGGTCAAGTGGAATTAACGAGGATGCCACTTTTCAGTATTTTATACTTGAAGTTAGACTATGTGAAGAGCACAGTTTCGTACTTGATATTTTTACAGTTTCCGTGCAATGAAGCAAAGTATGGACAGTTGTGTATATCACTGAATGATCGTACCAACATATTTGATCTTTGTAAAGCAGGTGGCAATTATGCTAATCTTTAATGTAGTAAGACAACCATGTGCAGATATTTTTCTGCAAACGGTGTGACTTGTTGGATAAAGATGTTTGGATGTTCACAAGAACTTGGCGTTTGTTTAGGTTAAGGATGTGGACCACAATGTATCGAAGTCGATTGTCACCTGCGAAGATGGCACCATGATCGAAGCAGCTGTTGTGCTTGATGCTACAGGCCATTCAAGACGGCTAGTACAGTATGATAAGCCATTCAATCCAGGCTATCAAATTGCTTACGGAATTGTTGCGGAAGTACGTGTCCTGGCGCCCTTTGCTCCTTCAATTATACTTCGTCTCTAAGATGATTGCAGGGGTAACATTTTTGTAACGTGATTGGTATTTGAAAGGCAGATTTAGACGCCATGTGTTATTTCCCTACTTTAAAAAAATGAGATTTCTGTGAGATGGTTGAAAATTTATTGAAGATCGTGAAACATTCTACAGTGTACTAGAAATTCCCACTCAGCTAAAGCGTGTTATACTCAAGAAGCTCGTTAAGCAATGTTTTGATCTATCAATGATTACATTGGCAGGTAGATAGTCATCCTTTCGACGTCGACAAGATGCTATTCATGGACTGGCGAGATTCCCATTTGCACGGGGACAAACTGCTTATGGACGGGAACTTGGAGTTACCGACTTTCCTGTATGCGATGCCATTTTCAGCCAACCACATATTTCTAGGTCAGTTATCCACTTAATTATTTCAATGTGTTAATCCAACTCAGAGTTTTCATTGCAAACTTAGAGTCTTGTAGAATCTGATCATGGTCCCCTTGACTGTATTACATACTCAGCGTGAACTTTGGGAATGCCTTTATGGTCATGTCAGTCGTTCACCGGAAAGATTTTGCATTCTCAAAGCTGTTGGTTGCTAGAAATTTGAAGTATAGTAATGTTCATATTGGCTTGCGTTGACATTCAATAGGGTATGTTCTGTTGGCTTTCCAGAGGAAACATCATTGGTGGCACGGCCAGGCGTACCAATGGATGTCATTCAAAAACGCATGGAGTTGCGACTCAAACACTTAGGCATCCATGTTCGTAGCATTGAGGAAGATGAGTGAGTACCCTACCCTTTATCATACTTAGAAACAGTCCACTGCTTTGCTCTACAATCAACTTTTTTGTCGATTATTGAGATGGTCATTTGCAAACAAATTGTGGGTCATGAGTGTGTATTTGGGACGTGCTAATTTACATTCGGCTTGAATCTATGTGAGCTTATAGGAAATGCGTTATTCCAATGGGTGGTGTGTTGCCTGTCATCCCACAAAGAGTGCTTGGTATTGGTGGAACCGCAGGCATGGTTCATCCATCAACTGGTACTTTATCTAACCATACCATGAAATTTCTTCCAAATGCACTCTTTAAAACTGCTGAAAATGATTTGCGTGTCATTAGCGAAGGTTTTTTGAGGTGTGAAATCTGATCAATCGTCCCATCACGTAGCCACAATCTAAAACCTGAAAACATTTTTCATTTGAATTCCTGTAGGTTATATGGTTGCGAGGACACTAGCTGCAGCACCCCTGTTGGCAGAGTCTGTTATAAAGAGCTTGGGGGGTTCCACAAGCACCCATGTTTCCAGTAGACCGCAATATTCCCAGAAGGTTGAATCCTCAACTTATTCACAAGGACTTGAAGCAACATCTGATGAAGACAATGCTGGGCCATCAGGGGATGAACTGGCAGCTGGTGTGTGGGCGGACTTGTGGCCTTTGGAACGGCAACAACAACGAGCTTTTTTCTGTTTTGGCATGGAGGTTCTCCTCAAGGTATTCCATCCTGCTAAGACCTTTACAGCTCACCCTTCAGTTCTTTCAACTTCACTCCGGGTTCTTTGACACCTTGTGCTTCCACCTTTGCAAGCTTAAGCATGAATTTTGATAACAATTATGAGGTTCTTCCCTCGCTAGTCAATGCCTTATCTTTCACGCTAGGAAGGATTATTATGAAGTCAACTACTGATCCTGGTGATCATGTGTGCAGCTGGACTTGGCGGGTACACGACGCTTTTTTGATGCTTTTTTCGATCTTGAAGCCCACCTCTGGCAAGGGTTCCTGTCTTCACGTCTTTATTTCATTGAGGTTAGGTCTTCCACTTTTCTCGGCTCTTTATCATCTAGTACTTCACACCTTTCATTTGGACACGATTTATGGGTAACTTGTAGGTTGGGGGAATTGTATATGTAGGTCCAGTTTAGAGCTTCACATCTTTTCTGGGTCCAATGTGTCTTTTTATATCTATTCTGTAACTCAGGATGAGGATAGAGAGTTCAAGTAGTGGATGGAATAAGGATTATGGTCATTTATTCTGTACTAATCATCTTTCATTGGCTATTTTGTGCAGCTAATTGGATTTGGGCTCTCCCTTTTCAAACATGCGACTAATCATGCGAGGGCAGAGATTGTGGCAAGTGGAACTGTACCGCTGGCTAAATTGATTTTGGAAGTTGCTCAGATGAGACCTCCAAAAGATCAGTCAAAGTGACATATTTTTTTAAAAAAAAATCTTTTTGATTATTTTTTAAAAATTAAAAATCTGTCTTCATAGAGATTAGCCCTGTGTATTAATTTCATAGACTCAAGTCTTGCACCGATTTTGTGGCAAAGACTTGTGTTCTTAAATTGAAATTGGCATTCTCAAATTTGGACATCTTTCTTTGATCACCGTTTTATTTTTGAGACTCACATTTGGGTTTTGACTTTTTTTCAGTTGTACCGTTTTTCAGTTACACTGTTAATTCACTGGACATCATACGGCATTCTTAAGTTCCCCTAAATGAATTTTTTACTGCACAATCAGTGGATGGACATCCTTGTGAAGGACCCTTCACTGCGTTGATTTGTTTGTGGATAAGATCTGTTGACTAAACCTGAAAAAATTATGTTCTCTAACGTTTCAATAACAACAGGAACAAAGAAATGGGACGTATTTCATTATATGGGTAATAGGTTTTTTTTACTCATAATATTTTTAAGTTTGTTTCGAAGTTCTCAGATTGACTTGAGGAAATGGAGTCCATGCTTACCCACCCATTATATTTGATGAGTTAAAGATACTTCGTATAATTGCGTGCACATGGTCATTAATAAATATCCTTTTACGTGAACTTTTTGTGAATGTATATACACACATACACACACATATTTGAAATTTGTTTCATCTTCCTCACTCTTTAGCAGAAATATATACATATATAGATTTATATAAATATATTATAGATGCACACATACATTCGGAAAACATCGATATTACAACTGTTGATTCCATTTTCTCGTGCTAACGTAGTCATCCATCTACCGGGTGTTGACCTTCACACCATCCCCATTTTCATTCATCGGCGGAAAGCACGCGTGGTCTCCGTTGCCAAGAGCACGTCTGTGTCGCGAAAGAGCCATTATCCGGAATCCTTGCCGTTCAAATTGCGATGTGTCTCAGTGTGTTGGTATGTGGGTCTCTATTGAATCTTGCTTCTCCGTACAGTTGCAATGAGAAGGTTTCATGTTTCGAGCTTTGGAAATCGCTGCTTCTGCGAAATTGCAGTGGGGGTTTGCTGTTGAGTCTCTCAATCTGAAGTGCATCTCAGCTGTAGGTCTGAGGATTCCTTGCCTTTCCAGGATTTTATGCTCGGCTTTTGAAAGGGATAGAGCTTCTAGACTTGGTGACACTTTATAATGTTGGAGATGAAGATGTTGCGAATGTTGAAGTAGTATTGAGAATCGTGCGAATGATATGAGAACGAGATTTTCATAAGACGGTGTCCGTCGAGAGAGTGTTGGATTTTTTTGGGTGGTGATTTGCAATTCTCCTCGCAACGTTTTTTACGATGTAAGATTAGATGGGTCAAGAATTCTAGAGATTGTGGTTCCTTGTTCAATTTCACTTCGGCGATGAATCTCTTTCCTGACAGTGTCTGGATTATTTGCCGAATGGACTAATGTCATTGAGAATTATAGGTTATTGGCAGCGTTAGATAGATTTCTTGAAGAGCGAATTTGAATGACGTTTATTCGTTATGTCTCTGTTCCCATCTGAGTTACAATTATCCAGTCGTCGCGTAATTGGAGCCATATTTTTGCCCTGGATTTGAGCTTGCTGAGCTGGGGAACAAATTTTTCGTTGGGCTTAGGGTTAGGGGTTCTGATATGAGACAAACGTAAAGATTATTAAGTTATCTCTATTGGACAGAGGACGTTGACTTGGGATTCGTAATGCTTTGAGGTTTTAGGTGATTTAAAAAGTCACGCAGCACGGTTCGAAGTTCCTGAAAATGAAGCATATTTATTGTGTTCATGCAGATTGTTGAAAAATTGCAATCATGGAGATAGTAAATTACTGTGTCCTCTCCTCAGCCCCTGCGATACGCACCGGAAAAGTATCGAATCGAATGAATTTTTTTAGAAATACTTGCACTCTTAATCCCTTCTATAACTCGAGACATCTGCTAGTTGAGACGGTATGTTCTTTCAAAACTTCTCCTCTGCCATTTTTCTGATAATCAAAGTTGGAAAAAGCACAATAATCCCTTGAAGAACTTATGTAGATGTCTGTATCCACATTTAGAATGTCTAACTGCTTTCAATCACAAACTTAAAATATCCATACTAAAATAATGTGGTAATGTGTCACTTAGAAAAGGTGCGACCAGCAACGGATGCGACTCCACCGATCGCTTTATGTACGAGCCCAAACACCTTCCCCTTCTAACGACGATAATCAGGTCTCTCCAGAGATCACCTCTAGTAAAAATGTGGATAACCTCGAAGATGAAGTGAGAAGGGTCCGAAATTCTCCTGCAGGGGAGCCATCAAAACTGCGGTATGGTTTGATAACTGGGCTGGCAACTGCTGGACTAGTTGAGACTGCTTATCTGACATGGATGAAGTTGCAAGGCGGACCAGTCTCATGTCCCCTTGGCGGCACCGGGTGCGACGATGTTCTCAATAGCAAATATGGCACCATTTTTGGTATGATTTTCTGATCACAAGTGTTCTTTCAATTTTCTTGTATGGAACAGATAGCTCAGATTATCACTCAAACCACTTTCAGCAACTTGGATCAGATTGTGTTTTTAAATCTCTTGTGGAAATGCAGGAGTGCCTTTGTCACTGGTAGGAATGCTTGCATATGGAACTGTGACACTGCTCGCCAGCCGTATGGCAACCAACCCCAAGGATCGCTTCATTGAAGAGGAGGGCCTTGTGAAATGGCTGTTGTTAGCAAGTACCACAGTAATGGGCGTTGCCAGTACCTACTTCATGTACATTTTGAACGACAAGTTGGGTGGTGCGTCTTGTACATACTGTGTAGGCTCGGCTATTCTCTCAATCAGTCTTCTCTTGTGCACGCTAGTGGTAAGTCAACACATCCATTTATGCGGTCATCCAATCACTCCTCTCCTTGATGTAGATTTGGTTCTCTTTTTTGACAATTTTGGTAATATGGTTTTGATTTTTGACATGTACAGAGTTTTAATCCTGGTGATCTTCGCAATGTAGCTGGTATACAATTGACTGCTGGGGTTTCTGTTGCGCTGGTGCTTTCAGCGGCTTTTAACGATATTGATTCGGCATCTTTCAGGTTAACTCATTTTTCAAAATGAATCTCTACTTATCATATGTGTCTTCAGCTAACAAGACTCACCCTCAAGCATGTAAATTTTTTGTGAGATATTGTTCAGGTTGTTGAATAATTTCTTTGAAAATGTGCTATTACTACTCAGTGGCACTCGTATTAGTGTAAAGAAAACTTAATAACGAAATAATATGTGTTGGTTAACCCTTATTCTTATGTTGGACTTTAGGTCAGGCGACATTGATATACCATATGAATCTCCAGAAGTAACGCATGTTTCAAACGCAAAAGAAATAGCCTTGGCCAAGCAGTTGAAAGCAATTGGCGCTAAAATGTACGGTGCATTTTGGTGCTCTCACTGTTTCGAGCAAAAGCAGGTGATACAAAATGAAAATGAGATGGTTGCCTGAAATTTGATATTTTGTTGCGCTTTTCTTTGGAAGTCTCGTAATTGTATTTTAAGTCTGAATCAGCAAATTTTTGTAAACTCTAATGCCATGCCACCTAGGTCTGAATTGCAGTGTTTTGGGTTTGGTTCTCAGATGCTAGGTAAGGAGGCTGTAAAGTATTTAGAATATGTCGAATGCTACCCCGAAGGCTACAGAAGCGGTGTTAAGATTGCCAAAGAATGCGATGAGATCAACATTCAAGGCTTCCCAACGTGGGTCATCAATGGCCAGGTAATAAATACAGTTAGTATCTCAGTTTCTTGGCACACTGACTCGGCAATTATTATTACCGATCGGTCCCTTTTGAGTGAGTTCAGAGCGCTTGCAAAATTCTGCTGAAGCCCTGTATGACATGCAGTTTCAGTACATGCGTTCTGTATAGATTTCTAGTGTGTTTCGAAGTCTCAATTTTCATATAGAAGCTTTTAGCTGGGTTGTATAAATGTGTATGTTACTCAGATATGTGGGTATTTCTGTCTCATGGGCTTGCAGCAATATTCTGGAGAACTGGAGTTTGAAAAATTGGTCGAGTTGTCAGGACTTAGCACTAGTGAGTCGGCGCAGTAAAAATCTACGGTTTTACGTTCCGAAATTGGTCCATTGGTTCATGTAAATACGACCATTGGGTCTGAACACAAGGAACCTCCAGTAGGTGGTGTAATTTCCTAGAAGCACATAGCAAGGGTACTTTTAAATCCTAATCAGATGGATGTAACGTCTCTTTACACTACATGGGCGAGATATTTCGAACAGAATTTGTGTACTTAGCATTATGTTCATCGTCTTCGTAAGGGTTCTTTTGAACAAGATGGGTTGTGACAAACTCTGCAGTGTCAATTGCTTCAACTCATCTTACACCAGTCTGCCAATTGTTGAATCCTTTTGAAAATCGAGGTTATGTTATAAATTCTTTTGGCAACAGAAAATAGATGGGGCATGCCTTAAAACATTCGTAAAGCAGAGACGTCTCATCTCATTCAGAGTGTATCACGGTGTATGAACCAGCCATACATATAAACTGAGGCTCAACAGGTTCAGATTCAGATTTTAATCCTCCTCCATAGCCTCTCGGTTTCAACCATCCCTCTCAGCCCTAAAATACTCGTAGTTTTCCACGCTGGTGGACGAGTTTATGAATTCCCTGTTGAGAAACTGTGTGAATTGAAGGAAAAATTCTTTGTACTGGTCTCACTTCACCACAACAGAGTTACAAGATTATCTTTGAATTTTCATTTCATCTTTGTTTCCGTGTTGCACTGTTGATTAGTAATAAGAATGCCTCTATCATGAGGATAAGGATCATAAAAAGACGATCAGCGACAACAGAAACAGCCCTTACTATCCCGAACAGACTGCACCGTCATGCAATTCTTGGAAGAATCCGATCAAGGACAACAGAATTTATTCACGAGAGAAAAGTGATGATTTGTAGACCTTACAACATCATAACGCAACACAAGACCTTAAAAAGGAGCGACTGCATCATAAGTACGATTCGAACAATCCGATCGTCATGCACATCTCCAGAAGCAAGCATGGAAAAGGAAGGAACTAATATTATGACTTGGTATGAGTTCCTTGCCTTTCTGAGAAAGAGCTGTACGAATAGTGCAGTAGTTCCAGGTATGAAGAAGTCGGCAGTGGTCGATAATTTGGGAAGGCAATCAATAAAGAACGAATCTAAAATTAGATTCCCTTAAGAGGGACCACTGTACAGCTTTGGTCGATCCAAGATTTCATACCTGGAACTACACTGTGCAGCTTTGGTCGATCCAAGATTTCATAAATGACGAAAGCGTTTAAACGCTGTACCGTGGATCTGGAAACCCAAAAAACGTCAAGAAACGATTCTTCGACGCATTCAGGGCATGCTAAACTCTACTAAGGTGTGAACCAGAGTGACTAAGAGTGTTGGCATTTTCAAGTTGCGTGTCCCTCCACATTTATCCAACTTACAGAATAAAGATCATTTCAATTCCTCACTGTTGTTGATTGAAGAATGTAGCTACAAATCAGAGAGGTCGTAAGTAGGAATTCTCAGAGGACTTGGGTCAGTCGCAACGTCGTCACTATTGAGACCAGTTTAACTTGGAATACTTTCAAAATCCAAATACGTGCTGGTGAAATCCACAATCTCCGTGCTAATGGAGATTTCAGATTGCGATGGTTATGGAATTTCAACTACGTTCAAGGTCCTGGTGAATTTGTCCAGATTGTTCGTTAAGAAAAAGTGAAGATAGGATAGCTGCTCTCACCATCATGTATTTCTTTAAACAAAAATTCTTACATTAAAGCAAACAATTAACACAATAAATAGCTAATTGTGTTAATACTTCAATCTTGCCCGCGTACTACAATTGATGGAGACTTTGAGCAATCTCAAGTTTTGTGATCAATACACCACGACCGCTTTCAGCAAAAATCGTAAGAATATGTTTGGTGGGAACCCATAAGCAGCTAATTACAAAATGGTGGTCGCTTCTTGCTCATATTCTCATCAAGACTGGCGCAGCTAGTGTACCAGCATCAACAGTTTTTCTTCTCTTTATTTAGCCGAATCATTCCACGCTCTATTGTCTATTGCATCAGCAAACTTCACTCCTTCTGTGCCAGCCACAATAATCGTTGGTTAGCTATGAAAGAATTAGCTTGAAGCAATCCAAACTCTCGCTCCTTGGAAGATCAGTCACGCACAGGCAGGGGAAACAGATGCTGTACATCTGGGAAATGCCCAGAGTTACTTCCAAGCACGATTCGTCCGGGATGTTGAGGATGACCCAGGCTTGGCCTTCTCTGATGCGAATTCCTTCTACTTGTATTCTAGCATCATGTTATTGTCCGGGGACAACCCAATGCACGCGCGCATGATATTCTCTAGCATCGCCCTCTGCTTAGCCAACGCGTTAACCACTGGGGTACCTGGGGGTACCAAGGGAGCCTTGGTGAGGTAGCTCAGGAGTACGGCAACCGGGTGGAAAGAATGGAACTTCTCCTGCAACATGAAAGTACCCGATTCAATTTAATTCCAAAAACCAAAGAAAATGTGAACCAAAGAGGTTAATCCTTGCGATTGATTAACAGAATAATATAAGAGAGATTTGGAGATTGTAGATTACCTGTCCGTCTTCCTTGAATTGGATTCTTGTGCAGAGCTCAGCCAGCAAGACCAAGTCCAAGATGAGCGGCGCGGCCAGTAAAGAATCTTCGCACGTATTGTGCATGACGATTGTGTTACGTCCGCCCATGAAGATCTCCGAAGTGTACTCGTCCATTGCCCTCTTGCTGTCACCCACATAAGGGACGTACTGCAGACGCCGTCATTGATTTTGGTTAAGAGGAAGATTCGAGAATCGGTGTGAATGCAGACAACTTGGAGTCTGAAATCAAAGCCGAAATGGCTTGAAAACATTGACTGCAGGGCTGGAGTAGAGATAAGAATACCTTGATCACAATAACGTGGTCGGGATGTTCACCGGGCGCGTATAGAATCGAATTGCTAGCCACCATGTCGTCCACTACATTGCTCTTGGAGATCTCCTTGGAACGGAATGTTTGAGGGGCGGACAAGTTCATTCCATCGTTGTTGCCCAAATGGTTGTAGCTAACAATTGACGTTGGCTGTGCACACCAACAATTGTGGGTTCAGTGCAAAGCTTTCATAGCAATCATTCCAGCTTCGCAAAGCATAAACTTCAGTTCTAGACACACCTGAATCCAAAAAAAATAGACATTCTAAGTTGGATTCAGCGCAAGTTAGAAGGCTTTATTACATTTATTCCTCTACACATTGCACTTGGCTCACCTTAATTCCCGCTCCAACTAGAAAGTCCACTAGAACGGATTTCATCTTCGTTTGACCGCTCTTGAAGTCGTCACCACCAATTAATGAGTTCTTTTCAACAGCGTATTCAATTACTCCTGCAACCACCGCATTTGAAACCAACTTCGAATCAGCTCTCTAATTTAAAAGCGGTACTCTTATGCAACACGAACCTCTCAAAAAAAACCAATTCTGTACAGTCTTATCATACAGGTGAACAAGCACAGACATCAAAAGCTTGCCACCAACAGGTTTCCCAATCTGCTTTTTGTATCTAGCTTGTAACTCAGCAGTCCACAGAAAGCACCACATTCGGAATCTGTGAATATATGATCTCTGTGAAAGGAACGATCTTCACCAGGGACGAATGTGTTCTGGGGACTGCCGTTGATGAAGGGAACCTGCTCGTGGATGCAAGCGAGAGCGTACAAGGTCGACGGCGAGATTTCATTTTCTCCCTTCTCCAGAGAATCAAACAGATTCTCCTTGGTGTCATTCAGACCCACGATCACGTCGCTGTAACGCTCTGTGTTAGCGGTCCACAGTACCACTACCTTGTCAACCTTGGTTTGCGCCTTGAAGTTCCTGCAACCAAAAATAGCTGGATTCAGAAATATTCATAAATTACCAGAAGGTATTCACCTGTGGCAGAAGCACGGCGAGTGGTAATGCGTTGAGAAGCTTCTCAGTGATGGATGAGTACCGTATGTCCTGGATAATCCGCTCCATTTGCTCCTTCTTGGAACCCTTGATGAGATTGTTCGCACGAGCCTCCTGGTTAGCAGCGATGAAGTCGGGGTCGTAGATACCAGGCATGGGTACCATATCCTGCATGAGAGGACGAAGTTGCTTCTGTAGATCGATGTCCAGCACGCGGGCACGATCCATGGCATCGGCCAAGTTCATGTTGGAGATATCCCAACCGCCGATCACGAGATCGTTGGGGTTGACCATCGGTAGAATGCTCTTAAAAGGTACATGAATCTCCTCACCCTGGAAGGAGCCCACGCGGCAAGTGGAGGCTTGAGTGAGGGATCCGAAGTAATTGGCGTGCTGCACGCCATCCTTGGTCACCCATGAGATACCTCTATCGTCCACAAAGACAACACATCTCATCAAACATACACGTAAATCAATCCAGGGATTTCTTGACAAAATACAACATGAAAATCAGCAGAGCAAGGCAATCTAAAGTGAATTCCCAGAAAGAAGCGAGTAAGGAAGCGCTTACTCTTTGTTGGCGAGGATACCAGCCGTGAGAGTGGACCCGTTGTTGCCACCCCAACCGACGAGCATCATTCTGCAAAGGCCACACCGAAACATGAGCCAAGCTTTTCAAGATCACCATGTCGGCAAAGAAACTGGTAGGTCAATTCAGACGCCGTAAGGAGAGTGATGGATTAAGGGCTCGCTGAAGAATAGGGTAAGAATGCTGCAGAGAAATGTAGTCGACTAAAAGAACTTGCACTCCAGCTCAAGGACCACAAAACGTTGTCATCGCAAGCAGACAAATTGAGCACATCAACGGAGAAATAAGCATGACACTTGCGCTTGCAGACATTGTTATTCCATCCCCTCTGCTAGTTGAAGCGGAAAAGATTCCCAACCAACTGATTCATGCATGCTTGCATCAATCAACACGAGCTGCGTGACCAAAGAGAGGGAGAAGAAACATGAGTGACCGATGCGGCACCATACCCCAGCTTAGGCACCTTGCGCTGAGTGGCAAATTGGTATGGCACGGACTTGGGCTTGGCTACCCACTCATACTTGCCATCGCTCTTGCGCTGCTCGTGCAGGAACTCGGTGGTTTGGTACTCATAGCTCGACTTGATCATGTCCTCCGTGTATTCCACATGAGGACTCTCAACACGAAAGCTGTCGACCAACATTTTGTATCACAGAAACTAAAAACGAAAGAGAAGGTTAAATCCTTGCAAAACTCCTGCAACCTTACAATGCCACAGCCTCCTATCTCCGAGACTCTCCGACTCTGAACCCTCACACTCCTCTTCCCGGATGGATGGCGAGGCAATCAAGCACATATTACGTAGTTAGTTATGGCGAAATGGTTTTAAACACGAAAATGGGAGAAAAAGTCGCAAGGATCCGTGCACGAGTACAACACACTGAGTCAATCAGTAATCTCCCTCCGTCCACTTCGATACGATTCGTTTATGGCGGAGCGCTTCCGAATGCGGGTGATTGTTCAACCTCCCAAGCAGATTCCCAGAGCTATAACCCTGCATCAGTTTGTTGATACATGCCTCCAAAACCGCTCGTACACCAGACTGAATTCGCACCAGAACTGAAGATTGTGAGTTTTCAAATCTCCCAACTCGCATCATTTTTCATCGAACTCATTGTAATTTTACCCCCACATTGTCTGCACAAAACAGTCATCTGAGAGGCTTCACTGACTAGGAAGTTTGAAAAAGAGGAGTTATGGAATAATTTCTTTTCTGTTAAAGTAATACTTTACAGCATGGGGTTTATCTATGTTTGGAAAAGGCAGAACTGGAGACATTTACACGTGGTGTGCAGGAACACTTCTGGGTGCAAACTCAAAGTTGAAAGTACTGGGAGCGGTGAGTTGGGCACAGGTGGCAACTGTGCGCTTTACGACTCCTCTATACTTTGCTGACGGGTTCTGCAACCTTGTGGCTCCAGTTCCTCTGGAACATTTGTGCAATCCGGAGACGAGCTTTCCGCAGTGGAAGCAGCTCCTCTGTTGAGCTCTAGCTTCTCCATCTCTGGAGCTTCTGGCCAGGAGTGGGGCCAGCGGAATCTGGGTAAATCTCTATAATCCAACGCGGATAAGTACCATGTCATAATCTTGATTGAGTTTTTATTTGTGTTTTTCCTCCTAGGCTTTGCAAAACTGTGGTAGTTTACGGATATTTCATCGTTCTTCCGCTACTTATTGACATATTTTGATATTCACAAATGTGTTTGTCATCTTAACAACTGTAGATTAGGTCGCATGAGTTGGATAATAGTTTTCCTTTCTGCATGTGCCAAGGAGTCCTGTGAATCTGTTTTGAACTCCTTGTGAACGGGATTGATAAGGAATATGCTGTTCGAAGAAGGGTAAAGAAACTCTTTGGAACATCTGTCTTCTGGAGAAAGTAGTGTCACCTGCCATCCGGATCCTTTTATTTTGAAAATGGAGTACTTTTCCGTTGTCCAGGGTTTCCGCATAATTTTCGTTCATGATAGATCGCCACCGGCCACGTTTCATTTCTGCATCTGTAACCCTTAATTGTGTCGGCGTTAAATCATAAATTACAACCACCCACAAAAGTTCAAGTACTGGTTAGATCCTCGTTCAATGCATGTCAGGTTTCTAAGTCAAGTTTCACTGCTGGTTGGAATGAATTTAAACTGTCCCAAAGAGATACAAAACTAGAGACCCTGTGATCTCAAACTTGAGAAATAAAGGTCCAAATCGATGTCGGTTTATTTCTCACTCAGCAACCAGATACATCAGAAATTCCGCATTTGAAATTAAACACAGTATCTAGAGTGACAGTCTCCACGTGCTGGTCGAATTGTCTTGCTTCCTTTTGCAAGACTCCTTTTAATTGGTCCCGCAACTCACAACGCAGAATGATGCTGTTACCTTCAACTCAATTCACTCATCTCACGTGTGCCGGTGGGCCACTCCACCGTTCGGTCATGCTGCAACGACTTGTAGCAAGCTGCGCGCAGCCTCGTGCGATGGGTGAAGTTAACCACTCAAAACACAGCAGACAATGTGGACTCAGTCCAGTGTTCCAAGAGCATATCCAAGCCAACTCGTCTATCTGAGGCAAACGAATGGGAAAGGGGGAGGGTAAGAATAAACAGAAGGAAAAGGTTAACAAATTTGTCAATTACAGCGCAGCGCGCTGGATCCTAATCAAATGAGGTGGTAGGCATGAAGCGTGCTGCATTGGGCTGCCTCTCTGATTCAGCAGGGGCCACCGTGCATGAGTTTCATGAGAACCTCAAGTTTATTTGTGGACTTCACTAACTCTACCTCCAATCTTTATTCCTGTTCCTTGCTGGATTGTTCCGGATTAAGCAATTGGGAAGTTTCTGTATTTCCAACTCATTCGAGAATAGTAAACTAACTGGGTTTCTTTTTATTTTCCTCCTCGCCTTCATTGCTTTGAAAAGGAGCCTTAAAGTCTGAAGGAACTGAATCGGATGCCGATAGTGGGCCGGGCTGGCTGGCTGGCTGGTTGAATATTCACCCAGATTCAGCCTAAATTTTCTTTGCAGGTTCTGCGATCACAAGAATTTGAAGGTGGGAGAATGAATCACAGCGATGCGAAATATTAATGCCGGTGTCTTTTTTTGGAGCTTAGATTCAGATCCTAGTTTCCGAGTGCCTAATACTATCGTTTCAAATTAGGGGCTCAGATTTTCACTCGCCAATACTTTTCAAGAACGCCATCAACTGCAGAGAATGGGTTGGCTTTGTTGGTAGATGATGCCATAGCTACATTTAAGAAAAGACATTAGCGATGGTCATAACGCCACGAGCAAGTCGAATGGTTCAGGTCTCAGAATACTCGTGTGACGAATTCTTTCTATGCGCACCATTTCCTTCTGTTCCTGCAAAGCTGGGTTCTGCACCGAATGCTCTTTTCTTGTGACTGAAAGATTAACCGTACTTTCTCATGAAGTCAGTGTCCTCACAAGTAACGTGCATTGTGAAAAAGAGTACTCAGTCATTACTGGACTTGAAATCGCACACACGTGATTCTGATAGGTACTAAAAGTGCAGATTTTGAAAACAATGCCTGTTCTGAGATATCCCAAGTACAACAGAGATGGTTGGGTTCGATAACTACCAGATTGAATCTCCCAGACTCTGAAAGGTTTAGGATCGTTCACGTCCGTACCTACAACTGTGTCTTGGAATCATGTCAAGTTGCACACAACTTTCATGCAGCGACCATATTGCCTTAACATTCTAGGAGCGTGAAGCTAATCAAGGTTGTTGATGAATTGAATCCCCTCCTTCTACAACCCTAAACTCATCACCTGTACTTCTAGATTATTGACCACATCTGTGATCTCAAACCCTAAACCTTTGGCCCTTGACCACAACAAATTTCACATCAATGAGTAATTCCTCAATGATTGCAACGAACAGCACCTGAAAGATGAGGAGAAGGACGTTCCCAGCCCTGCAGAAACGATTTACCGAGTCGTAGAGTACGAGACAATTGAATGGTGGTCTTACTGCAACTCCCAAGTCTACCGTCATGGCAGCTTCACAAATATGTGGTGCAGGTGATAGAATGCTGAACCATTAAGAGGCATGACATATGGCAGAAGCTCTCTGAGCTTCGCACACAACCAGTCTGATAGGGTTTGCGACACAGTTGATCCCTGCAAGTCGAGAGGAAAAGAAAAGAAATCATGGAATTACTCATAAAAGTCAATTACTGTTGCACTTGGTGGATGTAACGATCCTCTAATCCACCGTGAAACAATCAGATAACTCCATTTGTCAGTTCCTGTGTTGTACTGTAATGTTTTGGGTATGCTAGAGCATGTCCCTAATGTCGTCAGGGCTTGATAGGGTGTCCCGGTTGGGATTGTTTTACGTTGTTACTAGGGACGGAAAATCGATTTGTTTTAATTTCATTGCCAGCAATTGAAACTGAGGGCTGATGATACAGTAAACAACCCCTTTCATTTCCAAGCAGCAATTTCTTTTGCAGAGACGATGGATACGTTTGAAATGATGAAACTCCTGACTCATCCAAGCGGTCTAATGTACTCAGTACGCTTCAAATTCTGATTCAGAGTTTAAAATTAATGCGAAAAGATAACATTTTTACCTGCGTTATCGTTCAGGAATCACGGGAAGATCATTTCTGGCGGTTAGCGTTCAACTAGAGCACAACTACGGCATTCTTTCCAATAGATTCATTAATGCAACTCTACCTCAGGAAATTCACCATAAAGACCGACCATGTGCACTACGATAGCTCCTCAACAGTGGGAATGGAAGATTGGGCAGCTGCGTGGTTTATAAGGGGCATGGACAGTGAGACATCATCGTATCATGTAGAACATTGATTGCTGTGTTAGGAAAAGAGTTCCTGCAAGCATATACCTTATAAATTCAAAGATCTAGCACAATGTGGTCCCGTTGGTCTCATTCATGTAAGCAAAGCATGATTTGAACGTGAATCACCAATTGAGATTTGGCCATCTCCAAAGATGGAGACTTCTCTCCCTTACACCTTATCTGCTAAATTGCGTGTAATTCCGGAAACATGAACTTGTAGCATGTCCGTGGTCCAGCAATTGATTCAATATATAAACCTTTGTTCCATTCAGGACATACTGTTAACTTGAAGGATCCTGATTGATCCGATTAATGATAAGCACCTGTCTTTTAAAGCACAAATGCAACTTCCTGGGTAATTTAAAAGGGTTTTCAGCAAAATCTATTCATTCTCTTATGTTAGACGCCACTGGGTTCGGTAGATGATCAATCATGTAGCAGTAATAAACTACAAACTGTCCTTCAATTCGTAGTTACCTGAACAAGCGAGCATTGGTACTTATTCATTGCTTTTAACAAGACTTAATATAGAATTTTAATGCGTAGTAAGAATATAGCATATGCTGACTAATCAACCAATGGACTTTCAGTTCAGCAGCATAGATGATTACGAAGGAATAGGTGAAGACAGCGCGATAATGTGAATTTTACTGCAAAAGCCAGAAGAAAAAACCGGATTTTTCGACTTATAAGATTGAAAAATGAACACGGTAGCATGTCTATTATGAATATTGTCTAAAAGGACATGTGCTCTATGAACCAGTCTTGTCATGTGTTCCGATTACAATGGAACCATAAGGCTCTCAAGATCACACGAGCTATAAATGTTCCGATACTCTCAGATTTTCCCAGGCTGCTGAAAGCTGAAGGTTTATCCAGTACTCGTAGTACTAAGATTAATCTATTGCCGATTTCCTTTAATAAATAGTTTGCAATACGAATTGTATTTTTTAAACGGTTTTACATAGACGAGGTCGATTGGCGAGATAACGACCTTGCGATCGAATCCCTGCAGCAATACCACCAGTCACACCTGCCAGCAAGAGTGTGTACAGGTACTGGTATACATCGGAGCCCACTGCACAAAACAATGTCCGAGAACTGAGTTCACTTTGACAGTATTATGGATCGAGCATTCAAATTATGTGATATCTAGGAAGGAAATTATTTCCGAAAAAGACTCTTGTTCTTATGAAGAGCATACAGTTCAATATAGGATGAACTATAGCAATAAAATGAAGCCTTACGTTGTCGGCCAGCAATACTGGTGAAGTAAGCACCCGCAATCAATGCAACTAAAGCACCCGGCAACTGCAATAAAAACAAAATGAGTAAAAATTATAACAAACTCTTGGCAACTTCTTGAAATAATAAGGCATAACTCTTTTCAATTCATACAACGAAGATTGAGAAGAGATGACTCATACCGCAACAGTCTCTATCAAGGTAATCTGGAGACGTGAGGAATCTCCTCCGCCGACTTCATAAGAACCAGCTACAAGGTCGATGCTATCCTGTACAAACACAAATACAAATGGTAAAAGATTAAAATTGTGCACCTTAAAATGCTTTTAAGAGTGATATGATGATTTTTTGGACGTTCATTTACAGCAGTCGCGACCATAACAGAAACACCAGCATGAAGTCTAATAAGCTTGAACACGCCCTACATGCTAAAAGTTGGTATACACATTAAGTTAACTACAGAGCTGTAAAACCGACTAATGTAAAAATTAAAAAATTAAAAATTAAAATCCAACATTAACAAATACCAATACAACGCTGTAATAAAGACACAGAACAACCAACTTTAAGAGTGCAAACCTGCTTGTTCCCATCTCGAAAATTGTTTAGATAGTAGCGAGCAGCAGCGTTAAAACCATCTTGAAGAAGACCTCGGATTGTCCTGCGGCCGAATCTGGATGAAACGGCTACACCATTTCAGATCGATATCTCCGATGATTGTAACAAGTGAGGCATATTATACAGTGTGAAGGACTAAAATCGATTTTTATGAAATTCAGAAATCCCCACCAGATTAGTAATCTCATTAAAAAAACGCACCTCACAAAGTCGCCCTTCAAAGCCCCAGTTCCAGAGTATTGAATGCTTACATCATCTCCATGATCGGCCCACACTGAATCCAAACATCAAGATAATGAGTAACCCCAGCTATGTGCTCGAGTCCCCTACCACATTTAAAATAGAAAGTCACAAGATACAACACAAGCAAACGCGGGACTCTACGCAGTGGTGCTCTAGGTACACTGCATCCTAAAGTAAAGGAATATTAATTCACTGCAGTGGTTCTGTTGGTAGCAGTTGTGGACGAATTTTTACAGAATTTAAACTTCGCCTCCAAAGCCTCAAATTGTGCGACGGTATTGGTTGATTCGAAAATGCCAATCCGTTGCAATTGAGCCTCAAGGGCCTTCCGTCCAAGCAAACTCTGCACATTGGGTACAATCGATGTTATAATCACACATGGTAAAAATAAGGTTATCAACAAGTACACTGAATTTTCATTAGAAAAACCTGGATTCAAAAAAGTAACACACGGAGAGGAGGGACAAACCTGTGTAACATTGGTACGGTCCAAACAATCAATACAATTAGTTCTGACCACCCCCTTCTGTTCCTTAAAAATATTACCATCCTGATCTCGTAAGTGGTACCTGTTCAATGCAAAACAGAATGTCAACAACCTAGGCAAGATTACATAAAATGCTGAAGGCCAATAACAGAGGGAAGTTCTATCATTAATTTAACCGACATGAAGTTAGCTCACTACTAAAAATGCGGAAATCATTAAAGTTGCATGATTTATTAAATGGTAATAGACAAACGTGCATTCCAAGTTCATCATCCCTACCCGTGTTTCGTCAAATCCTCTAGAATTTGATTGTATAAAATAGACAGGCGCTCGAAGTGGATATGGCCACAAATTTTATGAAAATCAAATGGAAGGTATCTACACAAAATTACAGCACGATGTTAGAAGTACTTTAGACCTATTCATCTAAACTTATTCGCCATACAGCTAATATTGAGATCCTTCATCCAAGCGACTGGATTGTAGCTCCACGAACACAAAATTGAGGAAAGGATGCGTTTTTAACACAGAAGACAGCTCTGCACATGCTGTGATCCACATAATTCACTTTCAACCAAGTGATCCAGAAAACTATGCATTCCAAAAGAATTAAAAGAAAGGACTTCAGATATACTTAGGAGCCAATTAAACAACAGCAACAACCCACCGGATGTGATTATTTGAGATTTTGAGCATGCTTTCCCCAAAGGCAATACTCAGAACACCCTCACTACCTTGCTGCAATCACATGCCTTGGATCAGAAATGAACGAGGCAAATACTCGACTCTGAAGGACAGTGGCGCTTATTCAAAAAGCAAGGTCTACGTAAACACACTGACAAAGGTAATGAGTCGTGTTGAAGAAACGCTCGCACTAGCTTACAAACACACGCACATCAAAAACAAAATCCAAAAAATATCAAAAAGAAGCGTGTTCTTCAGAATCACTTACTACCAAAGTTGCTTTCAATAATATGTAAAACAAATGATGAAAGCGTACCTGGTTTATCAAATCAATGGCCACAACATCACCATAGCGCTTGTGTAAATCATCGAAGTGCTTCTCGACCGCTTTTTGCTGCAGAGCATTGTCAGTGAGAAGATCGCAATTTCTGACTTGTATAATTTACTTGAACTGTCAATACTCAGCATCATGAGGATGAATGTTTTGTAAATAACTTCAAAAAATTAAAATAAATAAATAAATAATAAAAATAATAAAAATAAAAGAAAAGAAAATTGTCAAGCTGCGGCAAACACCATATGAGAGTCTTAAGTAAGATGCCAGCAAAAAGATCGGCATTTGTTACCTACCGTATTCTCGTAGTTGATAGTTTTAATTTTGGGCTTATACGTAAGATCTACAATCTGCTCCCACAGAACTGGAATAGAACCTCTCAACTGCCAACAAAGCACAAACTTCGAGGTTTACTGGAAAGCATCGTGAATGTAATAAGGAAGTACAAGCACTACTGAAAGCACGTGACGGTGCCACATATGCGAGCTGCTAGCGGTAGAATTTCCTACACCTAGATTAAAGAGAAATATTTGAACATGCTTCGCACGTTCGAAGTTACAAGAACCTGTGTGTAAGATGCAAAATAACCCTGCGATTCAAGTATTTGCTCCGTCTCTACGAAATTGGCAACATTGCCATCCAGATCAGCTCCCCTTCGCCACATCCGTGTCCCTGATTAAAATATGAGAAATGAATACTAAAATATCCCAATTTACGAGATGCTACTTGATAAAATAATCAATCAATTATTCATAATACTCATCATAAAGTGTCTCAGAACACCAAGATCGACTTCTCTACTATTGTGGGGGATAACATCAGGTTAAATGAATAAATACTGAAGGAAACCAAGAACTCACCAGCACGTCTCATAGAACGCCTTGCAATCAAGGTCACTGTCACTGCTTTGCCTTTAACAACGGAGTCAATGGTTTGAAAACGTTTGCAATAGTCAAGAGTAACAAGTGCACGTCGAGAAACCTTCCTTCAAACTCAGTTGAACAACTCTAAAACCTCCCGAATTCAGACACAAGTGACGGGATTCTTAGGTAGAGACAGTCGATTAGTAAGACAATGCAACGAGAGATCAAGAAACAAAATCAAACCATCACCCCAATTCCTAAAACTGAAAGATTCTTTCAAGGTCCTCTATGCAGCCACCACAAAACCAACAATCCAAACAAAGATGAAACTTTATAAAGTAAATCGGCAGGATATTGCCTTGGATCACAGGAAGAATGTAAGGCTCCATCTGCACAATTCAAATAGATTACAGATCATTTTTAAAATCTTCATGAAAGATTAAGGTCAAAACTCAAAACTAATAAAAGTAAACCAGCACAATAGTCAACCGAACCATTCTAGAGTTCATGGTTATAAATCCAGTGTGTCTACATACCTGTTTGTCTATCAACTCCTTCATTAGCTTCCTGTTCCAAAGGAACCTATCATCTGCCTGCTCGATCCAACAACCCAGGTCAATAGAAAAATCCCAAAAAACTGGACAGATGGACATTATGATAAACCAAAACCATCAAAACACGAAGTCAACCAAACTTATGTGAGAAAACTTATTCAAAATATGAGGAATCGAAAACGCACATGTTTCCAAATAGATGGGCATTCTGACATCGCAGCGGCTTGAAACTTATCTGCACTGCAATTAAAAAGCAGGATACTATCAGTTAGTGGACGATTCAGAGTCAAGAGTAAGTGATGATTTTTCAGTTAATCGAACTCACATCTCCACGGCCACAAAGAAATAGACAAGACCTAAACGTAGTCCAATATATTGGAAAGAAAGTTTAAAAGAGACGTCGTCAGTCAAGATAGGAACCAGTATTTCCAACTGCGAAGACTTCAGCGACGTGAAACATGGTGCTTCGTACAGAACATGAAAACCATTTCTCTAATATGGATCGTCTTACTTTAATGTCAGATCGACATCGTATGAGAAATAAAGTCCAGGGGTTGACTCTAGGGCCTTCAACAAACCGACAAAGTACGCTTCCTCTTTCTTCTGCAACAACGGCATAAAGTGAAATTTCAATATGGGGTTCGTAATATAGAAGTGACATAGAAGTTTAGTAATATAGAAGTGCCAGTCTGCAAGTTGGTCTACATAAGAAGAAACTGTACCTCCTCAGGGGTTGCTCTGTGGAGGTTGTTGTTGCAGGGAAGAACCCTCAAAGAAGACACACGGTAGACAGAGTGACCCCTGTACGTGCCCATAGACTGACGACCAGTAATCACTACTGCGTAAGTTCCTGCAAGAACCAGGCGAAGCACAACATGTGAACGACTTCCATGTGCGAGAGAACGAATTCGATTTCAATCTCACTATTCCGCAATCGCAACAAGGCTTTCACTCCTGGTGATATTCTGTTTGCCGAGCGATTTCTGGTTTTCTGAATCGAGGTGTCAGCTCTGAACTGAACGTTGATCTCAAAACGTCTAACTCTAATCACGATTCCCAAACTACATTAATTGAATAATCCTGCCCTCCAAGCCCAAGTGATAATTTTCTGAACAAGACATTGTGACTTGCCTGCCACAAGACGGAGGATTCCAGCCAATCCGAACACAATCTGTGCATGTGGAACATCGGAGTCCGGAAGCTGGCCTGTATCCCCATCACAAAATGTGAATACGAAAAATAAGACTGCATAATAGGTAACGAGAATGCATGTATCATGACAAGATTCTCCACAGCCGAATCAACCAAATAATTCAATAAACGAAAATTAAAGAGCAAGTCGAGGTTGACGTACTGGTATAGCTCAAGTCACCGGTAGATCGATTGATGGAAAGGAACTGAGTAGCCATAGAATCGGTGGGCTCCAAAACATATACATCCGGAAGCTCCCAAAGCCGCATCCTTGTGCTACGTTTCTGGATCTCACTAAAGTCGTCCATCTTCAAGCCCATTATGTATGCCCTGCTTAGGATAAAGTTCATGGGTTTTCGTAAGCGATGTTGGACAATCCCGACCCACTTGACTTCAACGCTTACCGAAGACAAGTTTAAGAACTCCAAAATCCGGAGTGTACGCTAACAACGAGCACAATGCCACAATCAATTTCTGATGTGCTTTGAGAAAAGGGTCCCTCCCAGATCAGTACAAAACCGTTCAACCCCGCCCAGATCAGTAAGCAATGCCAGTGGCCTCCAAATTTTACCTTCCTCAGAGATCTTCGAAACTTCACAAACCAAGAGGCTTCGTTCTATGCTTCACACGCACCCTGCCGTGATCACAACCAAAACCAAACGCCAGTGTCGTCTACTCAATCATTCCATTCTCGAATAAAAATAAAATTATATCTCCCAATTTTAAATCCTCCCCATGTTCTCAAGATCGCATATCCACAGCAACCCAAGGGCTACACCAGAACTACCATTCATGCCTATCAATTATCGTGAGAGGGAGGGTGTGTGGAAAAAAACAAAACAAAACAAAACAAAACAAAACTACAGTGGAAGAATTTTCTGCTTGCTTCAAAAATTGAAAGACAACAAAAACAAAACAAGACAATATCAAACGCCGTCACAGCAGAACTCTAAAACCCAACAAGCCACCCCACCTCCGAAGTCACAAGCTCCTGCGCGCAAGTACACACAAACACCAAAGATCTGCAACGAGAACCTAAAACAAGAGCTCTGCGCCCCAAAATGCACAATCCCGGGGACGATCCAGCTACAAGCAAAGAACTCAAGGTGACTGATCCGACACCGCTTCTCCTGCGATCAAGACCCAGATGGAAAAATGTGCGTACCCTAACGAGGCACAACACCCGGTAGTGGTTGGCGATCGCACTGCCACAGACCCAATGTGGAGCAGCAGCAGCACAATGGAGGCAAACTGGGGTAGCAGAGCGATTCGCAAGACAAGCAGAGGGAGCTGCAGCGCTTGTATACTACTGGACAGTTTGCGCTGATTTCCAGGATCTTGTTGTGAGGCTGCCTGGCTGGCTGGCTGGCCTGCTTTGCCTCCCTGCGTATATGCAGCAGCACTCACCCACAGAACAAGCACCAGGGCCACCCTTCCTCCCCGTTCTCCACCGATCGATCCGATCCGATCCCCCCCCCGGAATAGCCTTTTTTGCTTCTTCTTCTTCGTCTTCTTCCCTACCCAGAGCACCTTCCCCTGTTGCATTTGCATCATCGCCGCTTTCCTGCATCATTATAATATTGCTGCTCTCTCTCTCCCTCCCTCCCTCCCTCCCTCTCTTCGCTCACTTTGCTTTCTCCGACATGGCATCATCCTCGCCCTTGTTTCGTCCCTTTCCACGCCTTGTTCTCATGCTTCCTGTTTTGTTAATGTGGAGATTGATTGGTCTTTGTTGCCATTGCTTTTTTGGTGGTGGGATTTATGTGGGTTTTAGTGAGGACTTGAGCTTCGGAGGTGGATGTTTGTTTAGCCAGGGTTTGGCTCTGTGAGTTGCCCATGTGGATTATTTCACAAGTTATTCTTGCTTCATAGAGTGATTTACATTTATGTGTCACATTTATGCAATGATTGATTTGCATTCAACACACATTTGGGTAGGGAAGAGGAAATAGGCGTTTGTTTGGTTTTGTTAAGAGTTAAGATTTGGACAAGCTTTTGACATATCTCTTTATTATTTTGTGATTTGGATTAGCTTTAGTGTCTCATGTGGAGTTAGTCATAGTGTGCATTTAATTCACTGTGTTTTTGTCCTTGTTGTATACATAGATTAGTAATTTGCAAATTGTATGTGCATTAAACGTAATGGTCATAATATTTATTATTTTTGTTTTAAAAAAGTCATTAATTTTAATATCATATGATTTTAAAATAAATAAATATGTTCATTTGGATATAAGACAAACACTTGGGTAAAAGACAAAGAAGTCTTCTTATTAATGGAATGGATGGATGGCAATGCCAAAGATTATTACTTTATAGTTAATAATAATGACACATTCATATATTATATGCTTATTATATTTAAGTTATACAAATTATTTTTTAAAAATTAAAATTAAATCAAAATAAATTAATCAATTAATAGTTTTATAATTTGATGTTAGAAATAATTATTGCCAGTGGACATAAAAAATTCAAATCAAATTAAATTATATCAATGTTGAAAAGAAAATCCTCTATTCTTGCAAAGGTTGATTTGGCTCTTGAATTTTTATTTTTTTTAATCATTACTTACAAGTTTTTGTTAAGATTTATTTCAAATTTTAGTTTTTTATAATTTCTAAAAGTATTCACACATGGTCTTTATTTAGATGTAAGCAATAAAATATGTAATTTTTTTTAACACAATATAAGTTTTAAAAGCTATATATTGATTTATTGACTAGGATGCATGTAGGTTTGGTGCCTACAATTCAAGTATAGTAAATGAATGGTTTCAAAATCACTAACATTGTATATTGTATATGAACCTTTATATAGAATGCAGATTTTTTGTTGTTTTGAGAGTATTCAATAGTACAGTTTATTGAAAATGAAAGTTCAAAGTGTTGAAATTTTGTACATAACTAAAATTTAAAGTAATTGAATAATTTCTAAGAGTGATAAATCAAATTAGATAAGTTTAAATATTACAAATAATGAAAAATAATATAAATTTAAAATATAATATACAAATATCTTTTATTTAAAAAAATAAATCTCAAATCTTATATTTCATAAGTTTTTTTTAGAAAAAAAAAAAAAAAACAAAACAAAACAAAAAAACAAAACAAAAAAAAAAAACAAAACAAAACAAAAAAACAAAAAAAACAAACAAAAAAAAAAAAAAAAAAAAAAAACGAAGCAAAAAAACAAAAAGCTTTCAATTGTCTTATAACAACAAATAACAAAAGTATATCAATAATATTTAATACTACACTATTTTATTCTTCATAACATTATGCATCAATTGAATAAATCCTATTGTATTCCTTTCTAACATTATTTTAATACTTTCAAATAATATATTTTATACAATAATGTAACATATAATTGTCCATATAAGAAGATACTTTTTGTCAAAACTAAGCTAATAATTTTAATCATTTTTCCTTGTTTTATTAATTTTTATGGCATACACAATATATAAGAAAAAATATTTGCATTTTAATTCAAAAGATAGAACAATATTCTCTAAAATTAAAGAATAATATAAAAAAAGAATTGACTTGCTTTTTAATCAAAAAAATTATCTCAATCATCTAATGAATAGTCTATTTAAGTCCTTTGCACAGGCCATTTGCAAGATTAATATTATAAAAAATGATCACATTAACTTTTAGCTTTGGCTTATGGAATGGTAAATTCTTTACTTTGAAAACATAATAGATGGTATATTTCAATTTTATCTATTCTTATCTAGTATAATATAGGCTTTGTACTTGATATAATATAAAATCTTTCTAACTCTTATTTCAAATTGGTTTATTAATTTATACTATTACATCATTTCAAACCAAAATAATTATTCATTTGTTAAAGAATTATTTTAATATTTTAGTTTCTTTATAGAATTTAACATAAGTCATGCTTATTATTCAAGTTACTCTATTTTAAAGAAGAACCATGCTTAATAGGCAATATGTGTAGTTTTTATTGCCGATAATTTTGAAATGGTTGTTCTCTAACACTAAAAATTAACTTGCAAATGTTTAAATTTAAATATGTACATGCTTTGCATTAACCATTAAAACATACATATTTTTAATAAAGTATTAGAGGATTTATATGTCTCTAAAGGCAAAATTGACACATATTTGTTTATTAAGCCTTAAAAATCCTACTACAATATATAATAAGATACATATTTTTAAAATTATTTTTTAATTTAATAATTTAGTGTTTTATTTTTCTTAACTATCTTTAATTAAATCTTTTATTATTTTGTATATCCTTAAAGATAGAATAAAGATCTAATATATTATATAATATGAACATTTTTATAAGCTTGTTATTTATTTTTTAAAAGCTACATTGTAATATAAATATATTATATATTATCATTTAATGGATTGGAATGTTTATAAGTCTTGTGGCTATAACTTAGATAAAGTAAAAATCTTAGTATAGAAATTTGTAATATTATATCACGGATATATATATATATATATAGTAATTATAGTAAAATACCTAAATAAGATGAATTAAGAAAAATTAATAGTATATAAATTTGATATTAGCTTAAAGAGATATTTTTTAGAAGTTTTTTAGATGTGGATTTGACTTTATAAGTGTTTATAGATAATTTGTAGGCTAAAAAACCAACCAACAAGTTATCCATGTGGTGCACATATCAGGAACTTGTTTTGCAAGTTAAACATATGTCCTTCAAATTGGATACTTGTTAGATGACATATAAAACATTGCCACATAGATCTTCAATTGAATATATAGAGGCAAGAATAAATTCTTCCTCACTCTTGCCAATACATTTCTTTGACTCTTGACTTAGCTTAAGAATCTCAAATTTTCTTGAATTTAATAATAGTCATTTCAGTTTCTATCATATAATTGTCTTTGTTTTTTTTACTTTCTTTCTTTGAACGTCACAAGAATGTATTACTTCTTTAGATTTTGTTATCATTTATGACTTTAATAGTTTGTCAAGAGTACTAATTTATTATACTTATTTTGGTTTTGAAGTAAGTAAATTATTATATTTTTTATTATTATATTTTAAAACTTATAGATTATCCACCTTTAAATAACTATTTATATTTTTCTAACATTAATTTTTTTATAGTAACTAAGTTATTTTTCTTTGTAGAAATTTTTATTTGATATTAAATATTATTTTTAAATTTATCTTATGGATTTTTTGAAGTTGTTAATAATAGAGATGGAAGGATTAATAATTATGGATGCCACACTTGTTAGAAGAAAAAATGAAATTTGCAACTATTGCAAATCTTCATGAGCTTGTGAACACTCATAGAACCAAAATTTTATAGACTACATATATCAACTATAGAAGTACTATTTCTAAACATATGAAAGAAGTAAATAATGTAGTCAAATCACTACATTAAAAAGTTATATAATTAAGAGAATTAAGTAAATCAACCTCAAAAATAAATCCAAAAATCTTGCAACTACAAATATGGTCAAGGGAAGGATTAATATGCCAATATTGTGTTGTATTAGAGCTATTATAAGAAAAAGAGGATAAAGTATAACATTATAGAAGAGCTTATTTTAAAATATATTAGTAAATTATTTTAGAATCATAAATAATAATTAAAGAGGTAATAAAATTAATAAGTACTAATGTTGTCTTCTATATAAAAAAGACTTCAATTACTTTTTAGGGCCATAATCAAGGCAAAAAAAGGTAGGTTATAAAAAATAGTATTATAAGCATCTTTAGATAAAAATTAAAAATGGCCACTAGTAAAAATTACTTAGATAAGTCTTTGATTAATATCCATAGAAAATTGATTATGAACCACAATCAAAACTAGACATTGAAGAACAAAACTCCATGACTACGGTATATGAGATTTTTTTTTTTTTTTTTTTTTTTTTTTTTCCAATAGAAGTATTTATATTGAAAGCAAACTTGATAAGGTTTCTATGAGAATTAGTTTTGAGGGGTTTAAGTGTATATTTATTTTGTCAAAACTTTACAAAGTTTGGATTATTTTGAATGATTCTTTTTTGTGTTGAATAAAAAAGATATTTTATTTTGGTAAATTGTGTAGATTTTGTTGTAGATGTAGGAGTGAAATTTAGTAGATTTGTAAATGTATGTTGTAGATTTAAGCTCAATAATACATTCAAATCAAACATAAATGAAGTTTGAGTGAGTAAAGAACTTCAAAATTGGATTTTGAAGTTGAATAAGGATTTCTTAGATTTTGAGCAATTTGTAAGTTGGATTAGGAATACTTCTTTGTGTATTAATAGTTGTCTGATTTTTCATATTTTTGCTAATTTTTAAACAAATTCAAAAATTCAACAATAAGATATTAAAGCTAAAAGTTTTGCTTTGAGATTGGAGAGAGGAATGGTCCACACTTAAGCAAATTATAAATATTTTCTTTGAGTTTATAGGTTAAATCTTTTTTGATTTTTC